GGCGAGAGTAAACGGTCGCAGAAAAAGGCCATTGAAATGCCTGCAAATGATATCCATGCGACGAAACGAGTCGACTAGATTTCACGGAGAAAGTCGCCCTTTCGAAACCGTCACGGTTGCCGCCTGCGTTAACTGAGGAGGACATGTCCAGCTAGGATCCAACCTTGAGTATTTATCTTGGCATATCGCATTTGTCGGTATTGCCTTCCAAATATCATCCCGGACACTGCTAATCTGTAGCCTTATAAGTCAGGTGAAGGCCCTGCTTTATCAGCGATCATCCTCCTTTTTTCCATCTGATCGTAAGGCAGGTTCGGGTCTCTTTATACCACCCGTACAAAATTAGGGTCCACTGTCCCACATAATCTTCATATCATGTATTACCTTCCTTTTCTTCCTCTAGTACGCCGAATCGCGTTCCCACTGTTGGTATGGGGACCACGGAACTCTATATATACCCCCTTTTTTTCTTTTCCCCCCCAAATAATTTCTCTCCTTTTAAGCTTTCAACATGTAACGAATGAGTGGCAGAGATGGGTGCGGCCATATAAAACTTCGTAAATCCATGCCGTCGGTTGAACTTAAATTGCACCGTTGGCACGTTGTTGATATGCGAGGGTCGGAGGGAAATTCCCAGCCTTTAATTGGGGGCACAGACATTGATTTGTATCTATATTTGGAACGAGCCTTTAACGATGCTACCGAACGGAGTAGTTAAATTAGCCATAATTGCGCTAAGGTCACCTTCTCCTTACGTTTCCTCCATACATTCGGCACTATTTACCGTGCTATACTCCGGTAGAGGAGTGATAATAAATCTCACATGTGTTATTCGGCCATTGCTTTCCAATTGATCATGATTCATACCGAATTTGAAGCTGGAACTAAACACGTGTCAGAGTTGAATTTGATAGGATTTGTCTCGATTGACAATAGGGGCTTTCATATATGGGTTGGGCTTGTCCTAAAATACCAGAAAATTTTTGAATTTTGCATAAGGAACATACATTAAGGTGGGAGTGCTAAAAGCATACTTTGTAGCCGAGATCATTGGAAACTCATCCGCAGGCACATTGGAGTAATTAAAGGCTGTCCTCGCCGGAGCAGGTAAGTTTCAAAAACACCCATGCTATACTCAATGACTCTAAATAGCGATTAAAAAAAGAGCCGTTGAATACCGGGTTCCAGGCCAAGGCAAGATTTTTGTATCTGCGCTCCAGAGCTCCGCATATCGTCCATGAATGTATATAAACCCTCAAGTCCACTGCAGCAATGAGTTGGTTTACATGCTTGTGTGGTCGCACATCTCAAAGATTAAACCCTTGTCAAGTTACGACACGAGCATGCTGATCCAAAACATACCTATTTTTAGCATCTCCCTTTTCTAGTGGCATCACGGGCCAAGCGCACGGATTGAAGCCTAACAATACCAGTCCATAATCCAGTTCCACGCGTTCGAAGAACTTGGGGGAAGTATGATAAATATTGCATGTATCAGAGTGTCTAAAGGGTAATACACAGACAGGGCTATCCGTATATATTGTTTTTCTTTTTTGGTGTGGGGGGGTGTACCTCATCTGGTGAAATTAACCTTTGAGGGACGATTCGCCAGCTCACAGATTCGAATGTGAACAGCTTGCCCTAGAGACCAGTCTAGGAGTCAGAAGAGACAGCGGTATCATTTTGCGAGTACTTCTTGCGCAAATTGTTGGCCATATTAGGATTAGAGACATGGTCACCGGAGGGGGTTGTGTGTGTTCGTATCGCGAGTATGGGTTTCGGCACCTAAGGTTTTACGGTGATCTGCAACGCAAAAATGAAATGTCTCCGATGAGTGCAGCCCAAGCATCGGGTATACATAATGTCTTTCGTAGAAAGATCCTTGGCAAAGGTCATCTATTGATCTTGTTCTACGGCAAAATTCCGTAGAGAGAAGACCGGAACGGGTGTGCTCCGTAAGTTATTCAGGACTGACGTTTATCGTAATAATCAAATTCTGTCCGTGTAACAGCGCCTCTTCAGGTTACAAAGAACACTAAGAGCCCAGCAATCGAATGCGGAATATGAGGCGGAACGGGACGGCATTGACTTTGGGGTAGGTTTTCCCCAGACCTGGCGTAATGTTAGCTTCGGGTCGGTGAAATTATTTTAACAGTACGAAAAATTTAGAGACAACCAGACAAATGCCGTCTGGGTTTCAGAGAGAAGATTAAATCCATCATTGCCTTGCTCTCGCCTATATCTTAACCAACCCTCAAAGAAGGAAGGTCAGGAGCGGCGGGCATGACGTCTGACTAAGGATGATACGAAAATTCATCATCGGTAAAGGGGGAGGTAGCATGGAGCAAAATAACTTACATGGATATCACATTCGACTGAATCTCATCATTCACCATGAGCATACGTACGGCGAAGAGTCTTCGACCGGTTGCTTTGGATAGAACGGAGTACCCCGTAAGCAATCTCAGGACGGCTGAGGTGATCCATCACATGACCTTGAAAATAGCCCCAGGGGTCTCCGCCTGGAGTGGTTAAGTTAGTCCGCACTGGGCATCCGAGGCCGGCCTGGCGGGAGATTTTCGGTTAGCTGAATCATTTGCAACAAAGGGAGGCTACGTATTGAAGCTAGACTTCAATGTTCTATCACAGAATTCCAACTTGCAAGTGTTCCTTTGATGTTATGCTCGAATTCTCGAAGCTACACAACGCAACGTGACAATTGTCGCGAGCTCGCTTCGCGAGGATAAAATCAACATTATCGGCGATTCATGTGTCCTGGCTTGTCTGATTTCGAGAACCAGGTGGCTTGGTCGAATCCGCTTTTGACGATGCCTCCCATCGGATCTCCTCCGTAGACGGCATCGACTTTGCTGATGGTGCGCGCCTGGTTCTTGAAACATCTGTTGATGGAGTTGTTCGTACCTCGCGAGACTAGTAGTATGCTCAGCCACTCACTCGCCTGCAGAAGTTTGCGTTTCCCGCCACCGGCGGGAATGTGTACAATGTGGAGAACATCCACCCGTTTCCTTGGTCCACAGCGGCGTATTCCCAGGGACCGGCGGATAGGATATGCATTGATAAATCATTAAAGGAAAAATGCGTTTGTCTCTCCGAGCAAAGTAGCCTGCTTTATTCCGGCGACGATCGAATCTCCATTAACGGTTTGCGCAGTCGTGGATTCCCCTGATGGATGTTTAAACAGTCAGAGGCATGCCAAGGCACACCAGTGCGCCGAGAGGCGGCGCAAGGGAGGCATGAATGGGATAGGTTTTCGAAAGGTGGACAGTGCTGTGATAATACGACGAGAACTTGGACGTATGTATGATAATTCTGAGTACATACTGCCCAAAGTCCAAAACCGGTTTCTACGAGAGATATTCTCTGGGTGCGCGTCTTCTTTCCCTCGCTCGCTATCGATGCATGGTGGCTTTCTTATTTATCAGATAGTACAAGGAACCGAGGGCGAACTGCTCCGTTCGAGGACCCAGGACGCCGGAAGTTCCACGTTGTCCTTGGTCTGCCTCGTTCCCGTTCAGTATTCTTCCATGTAGGGTCATGCAAGCTTCAAATCTGTCCCGATTTCCGCTGTACAATGTAAATCGGACAGTTTCGGTTGGTTGCCACCAAGCTGGATATTTTCAGGTCGTAAGTCATCATGAGCGAGGTTGAGCGATTCAAGGAAAGCAACGGCGTGCGCAAGGTCGTTCATCCATTCTTTTCGTAGAGGTAGGGGTTCCAACATTTCCACTTTAGTAACGATCCTAGTCTGCTGGTCCTGAACATGATTGTTCTGTGTATCCTAGAAGAGAGGGACCTATCTAGTGACTAGATTAGAAGACGCACATGTCAACTGCCAATAGAGATCGCAACTCTCATATACTCGAGGAAAATGCCGTTGTTTGAGTAGAAAAACACTGCACCAAAGAGGGGCAAGGCGGATGTCGCGAGAAAATATAGATTTCGAGTTCCTTACCAAAATTGCTCTCTCGAACTCTCCAGGCTTTGGAACCTTGTCTACAATGCGAGGGTGGACCTCATAGACGGAGGAGATGCCTCCTCCCCAAATCCAGGGCACACCAGCAAATCGGTTGTTGGATATCCATGATAATAAGGCAATGTGAGAAACAATGCCTAGGAGAGTAGGGGCAGAAAATATTTTGTGCTCGAGGAGAGGAGAACGCGAAGGAGAGGAGTCCCAGCCGCCTAATGCATTCGATTGGTTTTGGTTCGTGTCTCTTTGGTGCCTTATTTGTCAGGCCAGAAAGCCATCGCCCCAGTGATGTTTACCAGGATAGAGCATTTGTACCTACCAAACAGGCCACTATCTTGCACTCATAAGGCCACGACTTACATCAGCTTTTTAAGCGAACCCTCTATTGACACTGTAAGCTTGGACAAGAATAACAGCATGGCGAGTGCTCCTCGACTCAAATTAATATCCAAAATTCACCCCTTGCCTCCTTCAAACTCTTGATTGGAAATGATATCATGGGAAAGCTACCCATGTTCACCATATTCCGCGTGGGTGGAGAGCGCTTTCGGATCGGCAGGGATGGTACAAAAATAAGCGGGCCCAAACTCCTTATGTACCAACAGCGACATTACAACTCTGTTCTACCAGTTGTTTCTCACGAGATGATGCAGATAGCATGCTCGTCCGTACGGAGTACGGAAATGGCACGGCAAATATCGTCATTTCTGATCTGTCTGTCCTATGCCCTGAATATGCAAAGGATGAAGGTCGCAGCGGCATGATCCGGGTTTGTTTGTTCCCTTAAATCCCCGACTGTCAAAGTTGGCCGATCGGAGCGGCATTACGGAGCAATTATTACTGTCAATCTTTCAACCAAATTTCTTGAGGTCTGCCGTTCTCGTACTGTGGAAAGAGGATAGCTGGCTTCTCTGTGCTCCGTATCCCTTTTCCATATTCGATGATTGATAGGAAACATCGCCATCACCGTACTCCGTACGGAGCCACCCACTGGATTCTTGAAGACAAATGTTTTCCTTCATTCTCCTTTTCCCATTGCTTGCTTGGAATGGCCTCGAAAGGCTTCCCAGCACCACTCTGCCGCGTTTGCCCATCGCCCTGCGGGCGGCAGCCGAAGTTGACAATTCAGGATGGCGCAGCCGGGGCAGACGGAGCGCCAAGCTACGGTCAGCGCTGAGCAGTGCCACTTCATTGCCAATCCGTTTCGAGATCTTTTAGGCCGATATTCTCACGAAGCCCTCATTGGAGTGACCTTCAGCTGAGTGCGGCACACTGCGCTTTCATTGGTGACCATTCACAATGCCGGTGCTATTTAGCGCGCTGGAGCTTTTCCACATGGACTCCACATGCGGGCCCTGGACCACTAACATCATCATACAGATTTTCAACGGAGCCCTCCGTCCATAACGCTCCATTCTTTACGAGCGTGAAGCGTCACGCTTGAAGGAGGTAACTCGCGTCAGCCTCGAGGAAACCATCATTAAGCCATGATGTTCCCCTCCCTTGCTAAAATTGGAAGCATCATTCTTCCTGAGAACAAAGGCCTTTGGCCATCTTCCCTTGTGTGAAGTTTTCACCCCTTTTTACGGATGAGAGGCTTCTCATTTTCGTTGCTTTCATGTGCATGGGGCAATAGCCGTCATTGCTAGCCCACACCTTTGTTTAAGGGAGTGACATCTTTGTCAAAGGGTCTTATTCCGCGCTACCCTGTTTGTTTTGAAGCAAGCCCGCAAGATATGGGGAGATTTGGCTGTGCTTTGGTGTCTTTGGCTCTCTTGTCATCTGCACCGTTGAGCTTTGGAAGGGTGCTATTGGGCTCAGATGCGTCAGTACTGCCAAGGTCGAAGGAGCAAGAACCATGCGCATTAGTGGCTGCAGCGCAGCAAAAGCAACTGTCGGGGAATAAAAAGGGTATGTACAGAGTAATCTCCATATACACGCGCTTTTTTTATAGTTTCTCAGTAAGGCTAACACGAATTTCTTGACCGGCTTTGCAGAGAAGACTTTTCGTATTTCAGCCGAACTGGCTCATGCCTGCTTACAATCGGTCCCATTCAAAAAGCAAGATGCTCTCCGCTTGATTGACGGCCTAGATTCTTTCTGGCACTGGCAAAGCACCATTGACTACCTGAAAGATCCTCCAGAAGGTTATCTGATGCCAGCGACGGATCTTGATAAGGGAATATTACGAATTCGAAACAAAGCTGCTGCGAATAAATATGAAAATGAAATCGAATTCCAACAGGATATGCTCGCTCTCGTGAATAGCGTCCACGATGGTCATTTTAATTTATATCTGGACGCTATCAACATTTTCAGTTTCCGCCGAGTAGAGTTTGGACCGATAGTGTCTCTATCTTTAGACGGCAAGAGCTTGCCCAAGGTCTATTCTTATAGTATGTTTTTTGGATTCTCGTTGGTATAGCAACTGGCTAACTTCCAACAGATGACTTAAATGGTAAATCGAATGGCAAATGGAGGCCCAGCGCTATTAAATCGATAGACGGCGAGGATGCGCAACAATGGCTTCGCCGTCTTTCGTACCGCGGGTCCGCGCAGGACCCTGATGCACTATACAATGCCCTGTTTTATAATCCCCCAGGCCATATACAGGATGCCGCTGGTGCCTTTTTCACTGCTCCCGGAGTGTATACTGAGCCTCAAATTCATGTTGAATTTGAGAATGGAACCAAGAAAGAGTACCAGAATGACGCGATCTTCCACGTTGATTTTGATGGGGTGAGGGATGGTGAAACATTCTATAAGAAATTTTGCAGTGGAAATATAGATCAAGCTCCAATGCTAAAGAAAAGAGAAGTTGAATTGCAAAAGCGGTCCAGTGCAAGTCCCCGTCGACATTTTCCGGAGCCGGTTGTTGAATTTAGTGATGGTTCCATCGCTGGTTATTTCCTGGAAGGCGACCATTCCGATATAGCAGTCCTTTCTGTTAGCACCTTTGCGCCAATTAAAAATGACGACAATGTTAATGCAGAGTTCAGCAACCTGACGTCGACATTTCTAGCCGCAAGTAAGAAGGCAGGGAAGAAGAAGCTGATTGTGGATGTTACTTCTAACGGTGGTGGCTCTCTGTTCCTAGGGTTTGATTTATTCATGCAGGTACGTGAGGATCTATCCAGTTGAAATCCTCATCTCTAATTCATGATAGCTTTTCCCGGAAGCAAAAGTGACCAGTGCATTCAATCTTCGAGCGACGAAAGAACTTGATATCATTGGCAGAAAAATCAACCAGTTGCTTAAGGATCCAAAGACCATGGGTGGCCGGGGAGCTGCTTATGAGAGGAATGGAATTTTCGATCTCAACTCGTATGTTGACGTTGACGAGGGGAAATTTAGGTCGTGGGATGACTACTTTGGACCAGTAACTAACGACGATTTTGATTTCACTAACCTCGCTCTCTGGGATCTGGACAATGAAATAATGTCGCTGAAAACTAGCCGATTTGTTGTTGCAGGTTATGGATCCCGCTCCGATCTGCCATCCCAGGCCTTCAAAGCAGAAGATATCATCTTGCTCACTGATGCCACGTGTGCATCAACCTGTGCTGTGCTTGCAGACTTGATGAAGGCAAAGGGTGTCAAGTCAATCGTGGCTGGAGGACGCCCGCGTCAAGGACCCGTCCAAGCTGTTGGTGGCGTGAAAGGTTCTCAGGTTCTAACGTTTGAGCAGCTCTTCAAAGCTGCAGCGCATGTTTTTGAGCTTTATTCGACACCTCAGGAGCGGCGACAATGGGAAGACACTCATATTGGCGAGATCTATCGCACTGGAACATACGTTCTTGCCCGCACTGTTGGCGACGGAGCCGGGGGACGTATTAACTACCGAAACGCCATTCATCCGGATGACAAAGAGCGTATCCCAAGACAGTTTGTTAACGAACCCGCAGATTGCAGGATCTGGCATACTCCGAAAACTATTTTGGATATGGCCAACCTATGGTCTGTTGCTGCTAACACGGCATGGGGCGACGATGGATGCACACCCGGATCATCCCCCAGCGACTGAAGATTCCGGTTGTCGACGCCGACGTATAGCGAATGCATTTCTTGCTAAGTCGCTGATTTAATATAGACCGATTAAACATCGTATATGTTCATTTTCTAAAACCTCTCCGAGGTTTGGCGTCAGGCCTTTTCCTGTATTTAGGCATATTAATAGTAGTAGTAATAATCTACCACCACAAAATATATATCCAACTCCATATTCTATACGGAGGACGGAGTATGCCCACTGCCTTTCGTCGTCGGTTTGCCTCCTTTTATGGTGGCCGAAATGCGAGGAAGAATTAAGGCTGTGACGATCCATGGATCCGGGGTTGCGCCTTACCGTAACAGGGATAAGCAATAACGTCGGTCCAGCTGCTCCTCCATAGACGCCGCGAAGGGGGCTTGGTGTGACCAAGGAAAAAAAAAGTTCTGCTTCTTGAAAACTCCCCCTGATTTCTTCATACTTTCGGTCCTTTAGGTTTGACTTACACGCTGCTTTCCTTTTTTGAAATTGAGGATCTCCTCTGTTCTCTCGCTTCATCGCGTCCGGTCGCGTCAATCACCCAGTCGCTCTTTACACCTGACTCGAGTTCGCGCGTACTCTGCCTGCGAAACAGACCGCCAGTTGTCCTTCGGAGCCCCTAATGATATCCAATCGCGCGTGTATCTAGGTCAACTCCGTGAACTATTTGCTTTACGTTAAGTTGTGGGGAGCCGTTCCCATATGTAGTTGTTGGCGCGGACCCTGCGAGTCCTTTCGCAATTCCATGGCCGAGACGGTGTCCATTACGATATGCGGTGATGGAGGATGTGGTACGTTGCGCCAGTACCCTGGGTCATAAATATATATTCCCCTAGCTACCACTATAACTCGACCCCGTACTCTTTACGTTGGGGCCCCCTGCACTTGCATCAATGCTGGTTACGAGAACCGCTCACCGGGTTGAAAATTCGTGAACTAGGCTAATTTGATTAATCTACAAAACAAGGCAAGTCGTCAATTACATTGCGACTTGTGAGGAGCCAGTGGACTCATGAGTTAGTTCCTCCATTCTTCCCTCTTCATTTTTGACTAGCAGCTAATCCTGTCTGGCACGTTTCCTACAGGTATGATCCAACTATCGGTAAATGCATCCCGAGTACAAGATTTTCATTTTTGGAGCCAATGGATATGCCACATTTCAGGCTTTTGAGAAGAGAGTTCTGACAGGGGCCCCCCACTCGCTATGCGTTCACAGAAGATTCATACTCCGTCACCCGTACTGTGGACGGCCGGCCGTATTTCCTTTCCCTCACCGATACCGCGGGGCAAGAAGAGTACCGTGGTTTATGGGCAGCGTCAAATTTGAAATCAGATGCGTTTCTTCTCGTTTACGACATTACGAACGCTTCAACCTTGGACGCCTTGGATTCTTTTATGGATATGATTGATTTGGAAGCTGAAAATAGGCTTGAGAGTAATCAGCGCTTGATTAAGCAGTCACGAAAGACTAGTCCAGGAGCAGAACGGTTTGCCGTAGGCATGGCCCCGCCAGTTACCATTGTCGCCGGAAACAAATGCGACCTCAAGGACGCGCGGACTGTGAGCGCAAGGCAAGGTTTGGAATGGGCTAGAAAGCGGGGGTGCGGGTTTATGGAGACGAGCGCAAGAGAAATGGTAAATATCGAAGAGACCTTTGCCCGTAAGTTGCGATCCTTCTTTTAGCTTAGTTTTACCTTGGCCTTGAAATCAGCAACGATCGAAGTATCTTGAAGTATGTGCGTGTGGCTCATATCTAATTAGTGATCGTTCGTCGCGTTGTTGAGGCCCGACGCATCCACCACCTACAACAATTCCCACCCACTAGCCAGGTCCTACCACCGCCGAGTTCACGACCGCCCATGGAACGAACGACCTCACAACTCATCGCGCATTCTCATACACCACCTCTTACAGCTCATGAGCGAGCTTTGAGCGATGCTGTATACAAGGCGCAGGGAGAGGGGTCCCAGAAGCAATGGCTTGGCTTAGGAAGAGCTCTTTCGAAGAAGATTGCGAAAATCCGGAAGAACAGTGATACTCCGGCCCCGACTACCGACACCCCGCGGCGGCGGAGCAGAGCAGAATCCTCGGCAGCAAGGTCTCACAAGAGGAAAATCTCTAGCGCGCAAAGTAAAGCTAACAACCATGAAAGCACAGGACAGCAAGGAACCCAGCGAAATGAACCAAGCTATTCTCGGGAAGATGATGCCCCCAAACCACAGGAAAGCGAGGACGGGAATTCTAAGGAGAGTTGGTGGAAACGAGTTAATTGCGCTCGCTCTTAATCATTTAATCATTTTATCATAATGTTTAATGTATATTTCCTATATCCGAGCTCAATGCATTTCGCTGAAATATCCTAGTGTGTCGATCATTCTCTGATGTATTCGTTTCGTTGCGATATAACTCCCCTTCTTTGACGTGTTAAAGGGGAACATGCCTTAGGGAATAGGGATCTATCCCTTCTAAACGGAATCGACTGGTCTCACGAGCTCGTTGCCTACGAGCCTTCTTCTCAAAGTATCTACTGAGGCTGGTGAAACAATGTGTAAGTTTTTTTTCAATTTCATATGATATGTACATCAGCTCCTGAGCTCCTCTCCAGGTTCTTTTCTATACCTCAGTCGGTCTTCAGGCCTCCTTTCTCTGGTGAGGCTGCGCAGGGCTCGCCAACCATATGGGAAGACACGAGATTCGATGTATGGCAACTGGAAATTAACTAATTTCCCGACTTCGACACATTGAACGTTCTTCAGTCAATAATCCAAGAAGCTCGGCTAACGCTCTCATGTTTCAAGCTGCGAACCATCGGGTCTCGCGAAAACCCTGACGAAAAACTAAGATCTATTTTTCCATGAGTACATCCACTTATTGCATCTAATGGTAGGCTCCCGTATTTACAAATTTGATTCAAGCGTCACCGCTTCCACCTCTTTGCCTTTTGCATAAATTCAACAAATTGAACTCAACTTATACCCGGAGCCACGGGCTTCTCGCGCCTCAACTTATCGTCACTTTCAACGAGAAATCCACGATACCCACACCCTGATGGATGCTACTCGTTGACAGTATATCAACATCCTCACATGCAAAGTCTGCGACGTTTTCTTCTCTCAAACCGCCACTGACCTCGATTAAGAAGCTTCCTCTTGGTTTGCCTTTTGCATCCCACTCATCTTTCAGCTGCCGAGCTGCTTGACGAACTTCTTCAGGGGAAAAATTATCCAACATTATAATGTCTGCGCCGGCACCGATAGCCGCATTCGCTTCCTCGATGCTGCGGCATTCGACTTCGATTTTGACAGCGAAACCACCAGCCGCTCGTGCAGCATCGACGGCAGAAGGAATCGCATCTGCGATTGTTATATTCTCGCCGCTACTGCTGTGAGATGCTCTGTCTTTATTGTAACAGGCCCAAATATGGTTGTCCTTGAGCATGGTCATTGAACTTAGGTCTTGACGGTGTGGATCAGCACCCCCAACAATGATACCATATTTTTCAACGAGTCTGAAGCCTGGTGTGGTCTTGCGGGTACCTGCTAGGATACCGCCCCATCCATGGGATCGAAGAATGGTGAGAAGGGATGATGCCCTGTACAGAAAGTCAGGCTACTGCCAACATCAACTGCGCCTTGCTGTGAGCGAGACGGCGGAGGCGGAAAGGATATATAGAACTCATACTTGGTGGCGATCCCTGAGCAACGAGCCAAGATATTTAGTGCAACCCGTTCGCCGAGGAGGAGTTTCCTCATTGGACCCCTGACGATGGCACAAACTGTGATAGGCTCGATTTTGTCACCTTCTTTGACTTTCCATTCAACGCTTTATAGAATTGAGCATCAGCCAAAAAAAGGTCATAATGAAAAGATTCAAGGTAACATTTCACCCGAAGACTTCATGAAGGGAAGACATACGTGCAACCTAGCTGCGCAAAAACCTCGTCGAAGAAAGGAACACCAGCCACCATTCCCTAAACGTTTCACTACAATTAGTCTCTTTCTGGGTTCTGAAGAGCAGGGCGACTCTTCCGTATTTGTGCAAGGACATAAAGCGGCTCCGTCAAACCAATCTAGGATCCTTCAAATAGGCACAAAACACCCAGGAGCAGGCACATAGATCATGCCCGATCCCATGCACCATGGCCAAGATAAAAATGAGCCGCAAATTTCGCGAGTTAGAACACGAAGCAATGTTCTGTGTGTAACGGGGACAGGATCCATCAAATAACCGCGTGGCCCTGACTGACGAAAACCAACCAAAGTGTCCATGCCATGCAAGAAGGAGAACTTCATACCTTGCTTTTGCCGAGCAGCTTCGCTTCACCCTCGACCTCTCCAACCACAAATCCACCATAATCTAAGCTCGGGCAATCCTCCTCCAACCAAGCAGCAACCATGCGCTTATGGGTCAATGGTAGTAGATTGTTAAGGGCTCCGTGATTAGCAGCCATGGCGTCTCTTCGTTATGTATCCGTTGATGCAATATTTTGAGCTCGTAAGGCGGGGTTGTTGAGACGCCTTGGAGTGTGGTCGGCTCAAAAGCCAATCTACCCCGAACGAACCGCCAAGCCAATGCCCGATGTTGAAACCGTCAGTATTCTAGAACAACTAACTCCGTAGTTAGTTCCAAGTGGGCTGAAAGTGACGCAAGACTACTTTTGTCCTCGCCCCTTTTGAGCACTCTACGCGGATGCTAACGCTTATTGATGAACTTTATTATGTATCTAATGACTTTTCAACCAGCATTTAATTATGGTTGCCAGGGCTGGGTTGAACTGAGAATTCGGCTAGGCTGAGACATTTCTGTAAAATAGCAAGGTCCTTTCCAAATGCTTATATACGCGTCAACGCGTTAGATACCCAGTTCATATTCTTCGGAAGGAAAACGGGGAACACGCCTTGAAAAGGATCTGTAGCGTATCATCATGTTTTGTGGGTTCTATTTTTCATGCTTATCAAAATAGACGCCGCGCAGCGCTCGCACATGTGATCTACCTGTGTTGGCTGCTTCGATATTACAGGGCAATATTGCTTCCTGCCACAGGTTTTTGTTCGAACAAATATCAGGTGGCCGCAAGAATATTTGTTGTAGAGTTGGCGACACATCGTAATCTGCTAGAGAGTTTCGTGGGAATCAACCAGACGTGTAGGCCTCGAGAGAAATCGATGAAATCTGAAATGGCTCGATATCTAGGTTCGGTTGATTGCTTTTGTCTACTCGAACGGATTTTCGGTCGGTCGGTCGATTGTATTCATTCATATAACGGAATAAATACAAATGTGTCAGGGTATCCGTCTCAGTCGATCAAATTTTCTCTCCAGGGTCTATAACTGGGCCCTCCAACAAACGCATATGCTTCTAACGGCCACTCAGGTCCTTCGTCTTCTTCAACCAACCCTGCAGGGTCGGTATTCATAGAATTTGTAGTAGCATCAATCATGTGCTATCGAATGTCGTGTATCGAAATTTGAAATACAGCGACATACTTATATTCACTCGAAAGCCACCTAAGACGAGACAATTGCAAAGAAGCCCCCAGGAACAATGAAATGCTCATGTAGATATTTAAAAGGACAGACGTATTGTTTCTATCACCATACTTTGTTGTAATTGTCCAAAGGTCAAGACTCTGAAACCGGACACCGACCAAAATGAAAGGTGAGACCCTTGAGTGCATGTATGTACATACATAAACTTGCATATCGCCTTATGCTGCGGGGAAAGTATCGGGGTTAAATAATGAAAATGATATCCATTTGTTTGCAGTAAGGTGGAATAAAACAAATAGGCCTTTTATTCAGAGTTACCAATTTATCTCCTATGGAATCGTGACTATTGACCCGCCGTAATCCAGTAAATCGTGATCAGTTTGAGCACGACCCGGGATAGTCATTTCCAAGGTATACACAGCTTCTGGTCCGCGATTATCTGGAGGGCAATGATGAAATTTGCAGGCATATTCTTGGGTGTGCGCTATTGTTTCCATGCCCTGTACATAGACTTGGCACCCCATTTCTGACCTTTTTTCAACACGCACATACTTCTCCATTCTGGTTCGTTCGGAGCGTTGACATAACGACTGGGTTCCACACAGAACCCTGACCTTGGTCCCCGCGCTGGCAAGCCAGACACTGCGGGAATATTGATATACTTGCCAGTATAGAATTGAAAGGCCGGCTCGGTGCTATAAACTTCCAGGTGAAAAGAAGTTACAAGGTGTTTGAAAGAAGCAAGCAGTCTCATCGGGCGAGATCTAGTGTCCAGCGGAATAGACGATGGGTCCGTATCCATAACGAAGCACTCGTCGATATCCGGGGTAGTGGCGTTCATAAAAAATGGCTTCTTGACTTCTGTTGAGGTATATCGCTCAATGGTACCGGTAGGTATGCCCTCGGGGTCGGTAGAAAGGTAATTATCCGTTTCCAACACGGCTTCAGTGCCTTCGATTGTCGGACCATTACCTAGATTGAAGTAACTTTACGTTTCATGTAAGCATCGCTCCTCATTCGACAAGCAGCTATCGTCGGATACTGCGACTTGCCTGTGGTTCGTGACCCCAACAACGGTCTCGTCACATTCATCCCCCACAAATTCAACTTCGTACTCAACCTCAAGGACTGTTTTTTGTGGCTGGCCTTCTTCGTTCTCTTCAGCTGCGGTATACCAAACTCTCAATTCAACGGTTCCCGGGTACCCCTCTTCGCCGTCCTTACTCATATATCTAAACTCCAAACCCTCCTTACCGTTTCGATTTACAGGCTTTGGGCCCGAGAATGTCTTAGTATTCCACCCATGTTTTCCCCCGTGAATGGAGTGCGGTCCCCTGGCAGTTGTGATATTGTATGATCTTCCATTGACATTATTGATAACTGCATCTTTCAACCGGTTCGTAGTGCGGCCAATCGTAGCTCCAAAATAAGGAGCATGGTATTTCTGGTATAACTTCTCAGTAGGGAACCCGAGAACGAGGTTGTGGCCTTCCACACGAAATTCTTGGATGATACCGCCAAGCGGGAGGAATGTAAAAGCCGCCTTTTCATCTGACGAAGACATGATAGTTTCAATAGATAAACCTCGTTTCCGGGAAGGATACTCGCGTCGAGAGACTTCCAGCAATCAGAGTTGCAGAGAAGATCCTATGAAAAGTCGATATCTGATGAGTGACATTGTAGTGGAAGACCTCTCAAGGAAGAAGGCTCTTTTCCGTGTTAGTTCCATGTTATATGCGGCTTCGTGACCCTCGGCTGGGGGTCTGATGTCACAATCTCCGTCGAGCGGGCAGTGGCTGGTGGTGGTGTGTAACTCTGACATGACAAAGCCGACGGTGGTCGCAGTTTGCCCTGTTTGCATCTACCGACTTCGGGCGATAAGCAACATCCCTTTCACCGTTTGACCATGATGAGAAAATGGGGTGAGCCCTTTTTGTACGACAAGTTAAATATTCGAATACCGTCCCTCAGGTTTCTTGCCATGATGTTTAAATTGACACCGCTCATGATATCTGGTGAGATGTGTATCTAGAATACTCACAAGGAAGTGCGGTATTCGGTTTGGGGGAAAGAGAACGAGCTGATTCCCCGAAGGAACAAACGGTGGCTAAACTTGTGCCAGGGTAGTCAGTTAGCTGTTATTTCGACGTGCAACTTCCCAGTAACATCACTGCTTGGCTTTCGAATACCGCAGTTCGAATATACTTGTTGATTTCCATTCCTATGTACGGAGTAGAGCTAACTAACTTACTAGTGTCTCCGTGGAATTTCTGAAATCCCGACCTACTTTTAAAACCCCTGCAGCTCGAAGGTTGAGAACTGAACCTCGTCGCAATTCTTGGTTATAAACTTCTATTAAGAGATGCAGCTTGAATTGCCGTCCAAAGAAATTTTGAGTAACAATTAAAGAACTTCAATCCTTTCTTTGACTAATGCTCGTGGAAAGGAGTTGTCTATAGAGAGCGGTATTCCTGCGCAAAAGCAGTATTCCTGCGCAAGAATGCTTCGGCCGCCACCTGCAGTAATGCGGTTTCCTAATTTCAGGTTGATATAGCGGAGACCCAGTTCATAGATCTGCATGGGCCTTCACTGGGAGACGGGACGCTGAATGAGGACTCAGCGTAGTCATTACTTCACTACTAGTCGAGGGCTTCGGAATTCTATCTATGTCTAGGATTGCACTAGGGCAGAAGGCAAATGCCTCGCCAGTCTTTAGGCAGACGATCTTGGAGAATACATTGCCTGTACCATAAGGTGAGCTCTTTGGAGTCGGTGAGGCTAGTTGCAGCACCGGCGAGATGATTCCGCAGTATCCCAAACCATTCTAGCAAGGTGAAGCGATGGAAGATGGCCACAATACACAGATCCAGCAGGCTGGGAGACAACGTGCTCTTTGGTCGCAATAATGATACGAGTGGCCAAATGACGCCGCTGGCGGATAAGCGAGAGCATTGTTTCCGTGAGGACTGTTGCTTCGCTGTTCCGTGTTGCTAGGAATTGTGGTTGAATATCTAATAGCAGCTAAATTAGTAATAGCAGGGTCGTTGTGCGCGTTCATGGCATTGTGCCGGCACCTCGCTAGTCCGTCGTGCCATCGTAAATCAGATCCTAGGGCTGTTGTATCCCTACGGTGGTCATGTCGGTTCTCGACCCGGCCGTCCGTTGCCAAGTTGTTGAGTCGCTCGCGTCTTTGCAGCTCGCAGGAGCTCGGAAAGAAACGAGCAGAAAAGGAAGAAAGCAATGCTGAATTTTGTGTTATGCTCCGGATGACTGCGAAGCGAAGGGGTATCAATTCAGCTGCTTAACTTATGTGACACGTAAACAAGTGGATTTTCAGCATGAAGGAAAGGAAAAGAAAAATCAAACAAATCCTCCCCTGAAGGACTCAGTGTAGCCTCAGCCAGCCGCCAGTCAGCGCGTAACAGATAAAGAAGCAAAGAAGACAGAAATCCGCGCCCTTGTGGTGCTGGTGTGCCGTGCCTGTATGTAGGGGTTGCCCGACGCTAACAGAACACTTGCAACCTGGACTTCTTCGTCAACCAGGGGGTCAAAGTTGTTTCCCGCGAGTTCATTTGTGACATCATCACCTGGATTGAACAGAGGGAACAAAACAGCAGCTGCTGAGTGTGGTTGATGAAATCTGGAAGTGCATATCAAATTGTTTCCTTACCTTCAATACTGATGGATCAAGTACACACAGCTATGCTGATAAAAAGGATGTTCGCATATTTCAAAGTTTAATGTCCTATCTCGGCTATTTTAACAGCCAGGCCTGTTTGTCCTAAGTGGGGTGGTCCTTGGCAGATTTCCAATGGGCACAATCACTTATGTTGTAGAATTTCATCCATAGCTTTCCTCATCTCTCACTCTCAGAAGCAAAACCTGTTTAGTTTCTAATACAGACGCTCATCATCCCGTTTCATGTACCTCATTTCGAAAATAATACTCGATACCCATTGTGATTTCATTTATGGTGTGACTGGGGATGCTGTATGTGCATATTCAGCCCGAATCCAAGTCCGGCAATCCCAGTCAATGGAGAACGTCTTCATCATTCTCCAAGCCTCATACCAACAAAGCTATGGAGATATGCAGATCCCAGGTAATAGTTTCTGCTCTTCCTCAGTGTCGAGACAATATATTTACTCCAAAGTCCACGAGAACAACCCTTCTGGTTCTGTTTCTCTTTGGAGTTGGGATCCCACTCCACTATCACATATCTCGGGGTGTAGGCCACCAAGCCGTACATTACGGGTGTAAATTGTGGACTCTCCATCAATAATGTGTTCGATGTTTTGCTGTCGTCCTAGCTGAGAGAGCAATCCTGTGGTTGAAGCTCTCGCATCGAAGGCTCAGGGATGAACTCAATCAGAATGAGCTGATCTGTACTCCTTTCAGAAGACAACTCATCCACAGGTAGTCCAAGAGAGTACGACCCTTAGTAAACTGATATCACCATGCCTTCGAGGTCACAGAGCCTGGTATAAGAGGCTGCTTCGCGTGAATAATGGCAACAAACACAAGAGGAAAGGGGTCTGTGTCATCACTACTGAGATCGAAATAGAGAGGATCATACAGTTTGGCAACTGCTGTAGGTCACCCTGAAGAGCATGATTAGGGCTGCTGCCAAGAATGTTGACAATAACAACTTGGGCACCATAATATTTTCGTAAATTCCATAGGTAACCTTGAAAGTGACTATGGAGATCCGGTCCAGGCGTCCCAAAGGAGAGTGCAAGATGCAACGCTGGATTGGAGGGACTAGTTTGACGTTCAATGTTGGTTTTGTTTGTGAGGTGACATGACTCCATGATGGGTGCTAGGGGCCGTGGATTTACCTCAAACGTAAAACCTCGGTCTTGGATAGCACTAGAAATCACCAGTGTAGGACATGCCTCTAGGTTGACAGTGGCAGCGTTGCTCTGAACAGGCCTTTTCTCAGTGATTAGTAACAAGATGCAACCGCAAGGACAATGAGAGCAACAAAAGGCTGTTTTCTATGTCGATGACCTCAGCATTTTCTTGTTGAGAGTGTCAGGGGTAGCCACTTGACTTGGCACGTGCCTTTTTCAGTTAGTCTTGCTTAGTCATATACAGACAGTTGTTGCTCTGTAACTTCATATTGACACGTATGTAATTATGTCCCCGCTCCAGCTTCTCGGGTCGGATCTTCGTTGCTCCGATGAAGAGCTTTTTCATCTGATCTTGACCCGTAAGCTCTTCGGGTTGAGAGGAGAGCGAGAGCTAGCCAGAACGCTCGGATCAAATGGTATTCGTCGAGCTTCTGTTCATGCTGAGTAGGCTAGCTAGCCTCGGGACAGAGGGCGCGAGAGCTTCGCCTGTCTTCTGTGGGCCGGGGCTAGTTGGATGACCTAACATCCTTTTTTTTCCCACTCTGTTGTTGTTGACGGAGACATCTCGGATACCTTACATTACGCTGCCGTCGTATCCAGCTCGTTTAGTCATCCTTGCTCATCCAGAATCAGCTCAACCTCGGCCGGGGTTTAAGGTTCTCGATCGGCGACGGATGACTCGCACGTTCGAAAAACGTCGGGACAACCCTGTCGAGAAAACAATGACAATGATCGACGCCTTCCCGACCGAGGAAGAGATTCTTGTTCGCATGGCACGGAACCCGTCAAGGTAAAATCCACTCGAGGAGTGATGGGGAATTCTGGCCATCCAGGTTCCCGGGATGTCGGCTTTTGAAAAAAAAAAAAAAAAATATTCCTCTTTGTGGGTAATAACACATAGAAATTGCAATAATTGCGGATCCTTGACTGTCATGCCAATCAGGCGTTTGTGCTACAAAACTTTTCCAACAAATATGCACCGTTTCTGCAAAGGTGCTCGAGCTTGAGGAGTTGTTAAGGGGCTGGGAATCACCCTGGGCAAACAAATGTACAGTAACGTATGGAGCACGGAGTTCAATGTCGGCGATGTTAGTCGGCGACTCGGGGCTACATAACTAAATCCATGCGGGTTGCACGCTGGCTGCGTAGACAGTCTCGGCCAGTGGTAGCATGAGTTCACCTTCAACGATACCCCAGGCGATATGTACCCTGAATGGGCAGATTCCACTTTGATATCACGAAGTAGGGTACCTATTTGAGCCATTTTTCCAGATCTTTAGACCCTGGCCTACCCGTGCAACCACTCCACAGAGAATGTTTTCTTTTGCCTAGAGTGGTGGATGGTTTGGCGGAAGACGTTCCTCGGAGAAGGAACCCTTGGCCAAGCACAGCTGCGTTTTCTAGAAGCCTACTGGGGCAAGAATACACGCGTTGTCCTCCGTACAGTCACAAGTCGTCATGTGCACACCTGCATCCACCTGATAATACGGTGTGTTGTCCTCAGTCTATACCTTGCGTGCAGCTAACGAGCATTGATTTTTGGAGCGGGGGATTAACTAGTAGTCAGGTTGATCGCAGTCTGCATCATGAGATTGCGCCAGAGCGCAAGTGAAGAGACATTGCTGGGCATTCAGCTGTTGCACATCGCACCCCACAGCGCTTCCGTTCGAGTTGGTGTAAATAACTCTAGCGATGGCATGGCAAAGAAAAAGCAATGCGGGAATTTCAATGAAGCTCGAATTTCGGCCGAAGCGGCCATGCTCTTAAAAAAAAAAAAAGAAAAAGCGCAAACGGAGGGCTTCTTTGCCGATTTATCCTTGAACTTATTTGCCGAATACTGACGGCACAGAAGGTACGATTAACTCAACTGAGTGGATATTATCGTTTAATATTGTCGACTACTCCGTACAATTATTTGGAACCAGGTAGATTACATTTTGGTAGCTCCTCCATCCGCAGGTACGGAGCCTCGTCTATCGCATCGGGTGGTTAGTTGTCCCAATGCGTTAAAACATCGTTTAGCCATGGCTAAGAACAAATTATAACGATGGGAACCAGAATGAGGGACTCCTGCCCAAGAAACGGTGAATAGAACCCAAATCGTTATCAAGACCTTGTCGCTGTCATTTTCACTCCAAAAGCCCTGAACTCTAATTGCGGCCTCTCTGCGCTGTACGAATCTTGTGTACACACACTTTCCCCCAGATCATTAATGTGGGACTAGACATTATCGAATTTGCGGGAATTGGAGAAAATATCAATAATAGGATCAGGGGCTTCGACGAATCTGCCCATGTCCAGCTTCCTGCGATCGTCGAACTCGAATCCAGGGCAACAAATAGCTGAGCGCCTGGGGGGTTTCAACACGAAGAGGGGGTTCGAAAACGGCAGCAGGAATGTCGAGATTTTGCCAAGGGAGAGGCAAGCCACAAGCGAGTTTGCTGCGCGCAGCTCATGTGGGGCTGGGAAGGCCCCCACGCTTCGCCTCGCTGATGAATCATCCTGAGGTCTCAGCCCTGCAACCACATCGGCAAGGATGATTAGAATTTTTGAAGTTGCACTGCACAAATGGTGATATCATCTTGGCGAAGTGGAGACCAACGATAGGTACTTTTACAACTGGAAAAATAGTCGACGGGTATCAAAAAGGAACAAGATCAGAAGAGAAGAAAACCATTATCCAAGAGAGGCGAAATCAGCGTGAACCAGAACCCGCTATGCACCAGGTCATAGAATAACATGTGCTTCACCACTCCGGCGAAGTGCTCGAATAAAATACACAAGCGGTCACGGAAACGAGACTGCAAGATCTGGGTTGCAACATAAATTGTGTTGGTCAAACTGGGCTGGGGTTGAAAAGCTTTTGGAATTCTTCATCTATCCACTCGGTTTGTCCGTGTAAGGGACCGATGGGTCCATGGGTTAATGTCGTTGAGATGGAGGCTGCAGGTCGTTGGAAGTAGTCCATACTATCGCCCGACAACGGTGGATCAAAGCCATGTATTAAACCGGGTGGTCCTATATCTAGCCCATTGCCATGGACCTGGTCCCATGACGGATGGCGGGGTACAGCAATAGCTGGAGCTCCAAAAAAGGCTTGTCGTTGTGCGAAGGATGCCTGAAATTCCGATGCCTGGGCATGAGGATGTGGTATCGACGCCGATTGCTGTGGTAGTGTCGGTGATATGTTTGCTTGCGTTGTTATTTGTTGCGATCGGGAATAGGGACTGTAATTAGGGGGTGTAGGAGGCATGTTGGTGGCCGAAAAGGGAGCACCACCGTGCATACTTTTAGTAAACGTCGGGGAAGCGTCGCCGTTTGAACTCGCATCGGACGAATCTCGTCTTCGCATTACCCCGGAACCGCTGGCAAGTAAGCGCTGTTGCAACACAGACAGGTCATCCTCGAAATGCTCGTCACCCACTTCTCCGTCCTTCAAGACTCCTAAACCCTCGAGTATGTCGTGGGTTAAGGGTCGGCCGTTGAACTCCCTTAGAGGAGAGCCTGGCCAACCCTCGCCGTCTCGCGCGCGCCGATAGAGTTGCTGCAGGCCAGCAACCAGCTGCTTTTGCTGCTCTTCTAGCATCTCGACGTATCTGACAAAACCAGGAAAGACATTCTGTCACCAAATACTTTCCTCACTTCATAGAATAGTAACTTGAACAAGGACGCTAAGCTTACCCTTTTGGGTACACCTTGTCTTGAGCTTTCTTTCGTTCTCCAAACTTACATATCGTGTTATCTGACTTACATCTCTGACAGGGACTGTTGCCATCACACTAATCGAAGACGATTAGCAAAGGGTCAGAGGTCGATGGATAGGTATAGGGCGGGCCGAAGTTCACCTTTGACTTTTTCATTCGACATCTATCGCAGGCTTTGCACACTCTCTTCCGCCTATTATCCTCAGCCCCCGGGCTCTCTGACGACGGTGAATGTTGAGCGGACATGACAGGATTGAGGAACAGCGAAATTCAAGCCGATCCTCGGAAACGGTGGTTCTCAATTGACGGGATTCTCCCGCGTGTGGAACTCAATGAGATAGGTAAATTGTAATAGGCCGCCAATCCAGCAGTAAATCTGTTTTGGAATGTTGACGCTATTTTCCTCCTTTCGCTGCAATTTGATCCCTCTTTTCTCTCACGCGGCTGGCTAAGAAGGTCCAGCGATACTGCGGCTGCTTCAAGAGACGACGGGAAGGTTCGCACTTCCAGTTGAGAAATAGCTGGGGTGGATGCTAGATCGAAGCTGCCCAAGCAGACACAAACGATGAGTATATTGTACAGCCGAAGCAAGGACGTTGTTCCAGGGTGTTCATTCGAGACGGCTATCCCAAAAGTAAACAAAACCAATTGCTTGAGATGGGTAGACAAAGAGAAAAACCAATACAAGGCCGAGACCTATGGTATCATAAAGACGGTGAGAAGAGTGAGCTGTGAGAGCGGCACTGGGGGTGTAGCAAAATAACATCACTCAACAAGATTTTCCCAGCAATAACAGGGAGTGCAACAGTCCAGGTGGGTTCGGGATGACTATTATATCACTGCAAACCGGAGAAAGTTTAGTCATTGGTACAGGGCCAGCCGCCAGGATTAGCGATCACCTATAAGGAACTGTCTTTGCCTCGAGACCTGGTTGACGGGAAGCAAAAGGTAAAAACAAATTTATGAGAGGGTGTACAATTGGCTTTTGCGACATTCCGTGGAACCGTGGAGCATGGCATGGCCCCGTTTTGACAGGACGGGGTGGGCAAGAGGCTTGATGTTTGGTCCCATTTTGGGCTTGCCAGGATCCCGAAGTTTTTCTTTGGTTTGAATTCGGCTTAGGATTCCTGCGTATTTTTGCACGTTTGCTTTTCCCTTTTTGTTTCTCGTCACAAGATTCTCGGCGTCCTTATCGTCCATCTTGGCCCTCGCTGGGCGACTCAGCGGAGAGGAATTCCTGCCAAGCAGGAGTGCAGATCCCCGTTCAGAGACTTGAGAGGACAGATTCCAAGCTTCTTGGAAGCTGGGACACAAAGGATAACGTCTATTCTACTCAGCTCGCGTTGTATGGAGTAAACAACCTTAACTAGGAAAAAAAATACTCCCTGTACCCTCCGTACAGACTCCTGTATGTATGTTTATACATATAATTACGGGGGTACATCATCTGTAGCAGTGTAGCACCCTTAATATTCCGTACAGCTTTACCTATAAGACGCGAAGGGAGCAATCGCGTATCTGATGCGATAACAACAGTTGGCTGGAGCTCACCGTCAACGCTGGAGTCGCCTAACCGGCGCACTAAAAGGTGGGCTAGGACAAATCTGCGCATTATTCTGGAACATTGCACATCACCGACTCCGTTCCGGAGGACGGAGCAATACACCTGTTGTTACATTACTTCAGCCCAACATCTGCCGTAACGCAACGGTATTATTCAATGCCTTCCTCGAAGGCCACGATCTATGTTCGGCTGAATTTGGCCGAATAGAGGATAAATTCGCCCCTCCCAAGCTCAGGGAGGAGAGCGACTTTTAACTGCGCCTTATTCGCACCTTCATATTTCAGCTGCAGACGATTATCTTTCAAGATCCAACTGCAATCCTTTGAGCAACAGTCGTAAATCTCTCAGAGCTTCGAGAAAATGACCGTATCCATACGAGCGTTTCCGTTGATTACGCTGTGGTATTAAATACCGGAGGTTCCGACTGACACTTTCTCCGTGCTCTAGTCAGCACAAGTGCCAAACCGCGCCCGGACTTTGCTCTTTCGCATTCTCGAAACTCCGAAGGGGAGACGCTTGCTTGGCTCTCGAGGACGCAGTACCTTACGATGAACCAACCTAGGCAGCAGAATTACTAACGCTCTTCCAATTTCGCGAATACGACGATCAGCCTGAAGGAGCTGCGTCTGGTAGCTCACCCGAGCCAACATTTACCACAGGCACTCGGGCGTGTCCGGGACCCCGTGTTGTGCGTACGAATATCCCGATCTCCCTCCCTTCGGCGCACTCGTTTCCCGATTGGGGTGTTTTTGTGGCCGATGCGCACTGCCAACGTTCCGCTGCGGGTTAAAAAACAATAAAAAATAAAAATAAAAGCGAAAAAATAAATGATACTGATCATGGGTCGGAGCAAAAATGCCGCACCCTGAACTTCAGAAGCGACGCTACTGACACCCCGTTATGCCATTGCACACTTTCAAGGTTAGAATATGCGCCCTATCGTATGAAATACATTATGGATGGAGTACGGAGTGATCTGGACGTAGACGCAAATGCGTGTATGGGACACCCAGCGCGGTGCTTCTCAAGGTGGCTCAGTATGATTCCTCAGCAAATTCGGCGAAAGTCTTGCTTAACCGCATCAGGACAATCGATTCACGCCCCTCTAGTTACATATATGCACTCTCCTCCTTCGAAATCATCAGCTGGAGGCGGAGCACCATGAATGTATTCGTGTGTGTTGCTCATAATGATGACGCTGTCTGAAGGGCAGTTCGTGTCTATTATTTACGTGCGGCGAGCTTTTCTGCCCCAGCCAGAGATCCCAGTTTATGCTGCTTGCATAAATTGAATTAGTCAGAATTTATACAGTCAATCGTCCTCTTTCTGATTGGTTTCATCACATACCAGTTCTTGGCGCCAACCTGCTTTGTGGGCTGCGCTGAGGTCGTGGTTGGGTTGAAAAAAGTATTGCGATTTTATTCTATGCTATCCCTCCTCCCAGTCTCCCCAGTATACTCCCATACAGCAATCAGTTGCATTGTGACGCCCGCCGTTACTATCGCTAATCCTGCCAAATAACGGCCGAGACGCTGATCCGAGTTTCCGCTCGCTGCAGGGTTAGTTTACCCACACCGACGACCGACTCGCAAACCAGCCCACTCGCTGCCAGTGACCAAAAATGTTTGACGACCGGCAGATCGGCTAGGTATAAAAAAGCTTGATGGCAACCAGCAAAAGTTCCCTATCCACATGGGACGTCACCCGTTTACTTGTTGTCAGGACCGGGCAATTTCCATATCGTTGCTTGTCTTCAGTCAATACGCTGCTTGCACCTCAAGTTCAAATGGATAAGGTATTCAAGAAAGGTGGGAAATTTATCGGCGTCGAGCAGGATATTGGCCCAGTTTTTTGCCGCTTCTTGCCTGCACCTACACGCATGAGCCAGACCGTTTAAGTTAAGCTTGGGATCTACAATCCAGTGTCACCGTCACACTGCCTGAAGAGCAACTCCGTGTCTGTGGGATTGTTTTTCTGGATTTTTGTTTGTCATGACATGTCATAGATGTTTCCTGTTCTCGAAATTGATGACAGTGCGCTGCTGCTGTCAGGCCTTTGGGTTAAGCATGTTTAACCGGTCCAGTTGACCAGATTTTGTTTTATTTGTTTGAAAACATCTCTATGATGTCACAATCAAAATTTGTACTCCTTTTTTTTTGTTTCGGTTTTTCTGATGGTGCCCCAATAACTTTTCGCTCGGAGAAAACATGAGCATCAAAGCGATGACGATGAGGCAACACACCCAGAGCTTTCAAGGTTTCGAGTTCTAGGTCTCGCAAGGCCCATTGTCCAGGCTTTATCCAAACATTGACTATGGATTGGCAAAATACAGAACAATTAATCTAAGTTAAAAACAACTACCTACCATTCGGGGATGTTAATCATGAACCAAGTTTTCGTGTGTTGATTGCTCCGAACCCGGAGGTTGAACCACTCTCTTGACACATTGCATATATAGCGCGTTTACCAAGTTTTAACGCCCATGCGGACCTGTTCGATGTTCGATGTTTTTGCCCCGCCAGGTCTAGATGTGGATTTCCCTGATGTTCGCTTAACTTTATCGTTAAACATGGCGCTTGACCCTACCTTGTCATAATACGATTGCACTCCTGCAAACTTTCATCCCGAATACTGCAGGTGCCATGCTGTTCGAGACTATCGCTAGCAGGGCCTGGGATAAGCAAGGTTTTCCAGATAGGAGCAGCAGCTGAATTCCACTTCCCGTGGCGCCTGGATATAAAGGAATTCGTTCCCTAATCTGGAAACCTTGAGCCATTCCATATACGCTGAATCGATATGAATCTTTCTTTTTCGGCGATCATTACTTGGCAAGACGGGTTGCAACGTTCCTGGATATACTTCAGGTTTCGTTCCCCCGGGATTCCGTACTCCTGTTTGTTTATCTGCATAAGTCACTGCTGTTATTCCTATCGCCAGCTGTGGCCCGGGAGCAGAATAATGGAAGGAGACAGCCGAGAGTAACCAGTAAGACTTTCAATTCCGCCAATCTACACAAACGAAAGATCGTCGATGAAACTCGCGAAAGAAACCCAGTATTTACATTTAGGAACAGTCCGTGGAACGATGTCGGGTTTCAGAGATACCTATAATATGTACGGAGTACTTGGGCGGATACTGGTGTTTACGCTTTCTTCCAGTGCTTTCAGGCAACCCAGGAGCAACATCAGACTCGCCTTACCTCTCATCCAGCTGGTTCAACTTCAATACCTTTTTTTCTCCAACGCTTAAGAGGATAGGTAGGCACTGCAATCAAAATTGACCTAAACCCAAAGCTCTGCAACCACTAGGATTCTACATCTATATCCTCCGCCTATCCCATCGCCAGCTAGTGTTCATAGAGTTTGCAATGGTGAATATGCGAACACCTGACTTTGCTGCGATCTGCAATGTAGTACATAAATAGTTATGCTGCATTAGAAGTCTCTGTAGCTGATGAGCTCACAGGACCTGTCGCGAACTCTAGGCGACTAAACTTGGGTAAAGAAGTCTGGATCTGGAGAAGTTTATCTGTTGATCCTCAGCCACTGCAGCATTAGAGCTTCTAATGAATCTCATCTTTGTTTCACCTACCAAGTTGCTGGTCCTTTTGAATGTTTCATCTCCTGAAAGGATCACCCTTTGTGTTGGGTAGAGGCATTGGCTACATTCACGGAATTTGGTATGGAAGGTAATGGGAATCCTATATATTCTCCTTGTCGACTTATGTCAAATCTAGGGAGTATTCCCAAAACGCCTAGTTTATCCGGGAGATTTTATATGATCCCCATCCGCAGGCTGTGACAGATCACATGTGCACCATTGATTTCGGGCAATCATTTGAAAAGTGTTTCAGCACTCCCTTGTAGAAATGCTCACCAGATCATTTGTTAAATTAGAGCACAAGGATTGGCAAGTAATCCTTGGGCTATTGCCTGTACATTACTTGGAATACAGATAGCAAGAGAAGTGTCTGATGCTTTATAAAATGGAGTGGATAATTACAGAGGATATACTTCCCTATTTTTAATTTATGGCCATCGTCCTAAGAAAATCTCCAAGGCCGTGGATGATAATGCGGGAAATCCTTAAATATTTCTGCAATGCGGATCCTCAAGGCAGTGCGAGAGACTATTATGTGGGGCCTAAGAGGAATTGCATATATGCTAAAGAGGCTCTATCAATGAATTACCGGCTACCGGAAGAATTTAGAAATGGGCTGTATTTGCGACTGAATCTTAGATGTAAGGACCTCGGTGGCGCAGGAAATACAAATAGTCCAAGATACGAGTTGGAGGGTCCTAAAGGGGGTTTGTGTGACCGTCGGTAATCAATTCAGGTATGCTAGGTATACGCTTTGGAATGACTATTAGATAGATAGTTACAGTGTATATATATACCCAGGATTGCAAGTAAAAAGAGACCACAGCCTGTCTCGGTGGGGTTCTCGTGCCTAGTGTGAACGAAAAAGTGATTTGCAGCCAGTCCTCTTTCCCGCCTACGACATATTACATGTAAGCATGGAAGGCCAACATGGGTAGCTGATGCTCCGCTTTGGCAACGGAAGCTCCTGATGAAGCGCCACCGTGCGTCTCGACTGCCCACACACTCGAGGTCGAGCGAAAGTAACTGTTCTATATTTATATAACGGTTTAGATCAAAAGCCAAGTAAGCTCAGTTTGCGGCCTCGTTCTCTTAACTTCTGCTGTATTTTTATCCCGCCAGACCTATTGCGTAGCTATTATGCTCACCCAACGCCTACGCTCGCACCGTTAGGCTTTTTAAGGTTAACCTTCAAACAGGCTTGGCATCAGTTAACTATGTAATTAGATTGGGCACGTCAATTCTCCACCTTCGGATCGTTGGGTCCCGCTTTACCCGTGGAGTCGGGAATCTTCGAAGGAGGGCAAAACGCCGCTTTGGATGGAATAGGCTACAGCAGATTCAACCGGTGATGAGAAGCACAAGCTTGCATACGGGTTTGACACACGTCAAGAAATAGTAGGCAGGGAAAACCTGCGATTGCGATATCGGGACGCGCTTCTAGAATGAATTCCCAACGGTCTTCCCGAAGATACTTTCCGTCATAGAGCAACCCAGGGTTAGAAAATAATGATGCTTCTGGCACCGTGCTGGGAAGTTGTCTACGGGACGCAAAGTGGGATGGTGAAAGTATCTTGTCACCTAACCTTTTGGAGCCTTTATACTCTTATCCTCCACTGCATGATGTATTTTGTGACGTCTTCAATTCCCCCGAATATCATAGCGACGCAATGAGCCGCAGCACCTTAATCCCATTATACCCTATTAGATCAACACATTTCACACCAGCTAGGATTGGGATGCTCTATGTGTTGCACTTATATTAGAGTTGGGGCCTAAAATATCACTTGGTATAGAAACAGACACCCCATGCACTGCTGGGACTGGGGAAGTAATACCACCAGGAAGACAAAAGCAAGAGAGACAACACAACATCCATATCTCGTTGACCATAGAAACATCATGTTATAAGTGATTAACACAAATTAACAAAGAAATAGAAAGGACAGCTCTGCCATTGCAGAGCCAGGAAAAGGGAGAAGAAAAGCAGACATATAAATATACCAATATCACCCCTCCATTGAACGCCAAATCCCATTAACAACCCCAAGTTCAAGCCGAAAGGGACAAAGAGACTCCTAAACCCAAACTCCTCTTTAAACCTCAACCTCAACGCACAAGCCACCACCGTCAGACGTTCCGGTTCCAGTGCCTTCATCTTCATCTTCCTCTCCATCATATCCATCGGGAGTTTCATCTCGTCGATGACGATAATCCTCCCGGTGATGATGACGTCCTTGTGATGGTTCATAATCCCGACTCTCCAGCACCATTTCGCCATGTCTTTCGTCGCCATCTAAATCTGTACCAGTATCCGGGGTTTGGCTTTGGCTATTGCGAGGTGTGTTTTTATTCCGGGATTGTTTGTTGTGTAAAGACTTCGGATCGATCACGTTGCCACGCGTTCGATCATCGACTTCATCAAAAGCACCTGGTGGAGGGCCAGGAGGGTTACTATGCCCTTTGGCGGCCATCCTTTCTCGTTCTAAAGCTGCCCGAAGCTCTTCATTCTCAGCACTGCGCTCTTCCAATCTCTTCCTGGCACCGGATCGATCAAGCAATCTGGCTTCACGCTCGGCTTTCAACCGTCGCTCCAGTTCACGGAGGCGATGTATCCATTTTTCCTCTGTTCGATCGCCGTTAGATGGCGTGCGATTTGGCTGGGGTGGCGTAGGCCCGGCTACAGGGCCGAAAGAGTTGTTTGCTAATGCTGTCGAGGAGGAATGATGATGAGCTGGCTGAGGAATTCCAGAGGGGGCCCGTGACACGACGCTGCTACTCCGGTCGGGCCGCGGGTTTGCATGAGCAGCAGCGGCTGCAGCAGTAGATCCGCGAGATCGAGAATGGGACTGTAGCAAATTTAGTTCTGCTTTGAGCAACCTATTCTCCCCACGTAGTTTTGAAATTTCTGCGTTGGTTGAATTAGAGGATAACGGACGTTTCTGGACCCTGAGCTGATGTGCTAGTTCTTCCAGTCGGTCAAGTTTCTTAAGTCGAATGTTGAGGGTGTGCTCAAGGTTTTGGTATGCTTTGGTTAAATCACGCTCCACGTTCTTAACGCGGCCCTTAAATCCGTTCACCAAGTGCTCCACAGTCTTCAGGGCGAGAAGCAGATTTTTACTGAATCCAGGCCAGAAGAGCATATTTCCAATAACCTCCTGGCTTGGAAGGTTGCCATTTATCAAACTATTCGAGTGTGCCCAATCTGGTCCACACATAACCGATAGCCTCTTCCAGATTGCCAGGAACATAGCATTACGTTCGTTAAGCTGATCTTTGTACTGCTGTTCGAGTGTACTGAAACGCTTTCGATCCTGACCACGTGCATGCTCCAGGTCAGATATGCGAGTGTTACTCTGGGCAATTGTCCGCGAGGCCTGGTGATGGGATTTCAGCGCCTGCTCAAAAGAATGTTTATCGGCCCGATGAGCCTGGCGTTCCCGTTCAAGCAGCTCGCTTAGTTTACGCGTCTCGAGACCGTGGCTCTCTAACAAAGCATCTCGGTTTCGAAGGAGAGCTTCCTTTTCATCTAGAGTCTCACGGGCACTCTGCAGTTCAAGTGTGGTCGATTCCAGCTCCTTCTGCAGCTTCGTAATGGACAACAAAAGACTCGATCGAGTCCCGTTAAGGTCTCCCAAAGCTTCCCGAAGGCTGCTCTCAAGTTCAAACAGCCTCTCTTTCCACGTATTTGCTTCAATTTCCCGCGCTGAAAGAGCCTTCTTTAGTTTGCGGATTTCATCTTTGGCTCCGGTATTCTCGCGGTTCAACTCATTCATTATTCGCTGAACCTCTTGTTTTTCCTTCCCTCCAACAACCTCTCGTTGGTGCCTCTCTTCTGCGAGGCGGCAATCAAGCTCTCTGGTCTGATCTCTTTCACTTTGCAGATTTATTTGGGTTGTTTTCAAGTCAGATTCCAAATCACCAATCTTAATCTTGTCCGCATCCTGCTCTTCGCGAAGGAATGCGATTTCGTTTTGGCTCGATTCAAGCTGCACTGTAAGCCGCTGTATTTTACTATTCGACTCAAACAAATTCTTCTCGAGCGCTTCAAGCTCTCGATTCGCATCTTCTAACTCCTGCTGAACAGCCTTGTATTTTTGCAAGTTATTCTGGGCATCTTCTTCGAGTCTAAGAATGCCCTCATTCGCGGATCTCATCTCAGCTTGCAACGCTCTCAAATTCTCTTGCTGGTTTCTCAATTCGGCTTCCATTCGCTGGCCTTCATCGGTTTTTAAGTCTAATTCGTCTTCCAGGGCATTAATCTCTTCTTGGGCTTCAGCTTTCAGATCTTGGAGTTCAGCTTCCCTCTCCTCAGCGAGATGCATAGCTTGATCGCGCTCTAGCTGAAGAGTCTGAACCTCTTCCTCCGCTTGATCCATATCTTCCTGGTATGCACGATCCATAGTCTCGATTTCACTCATGTACTCGTCAAGTTGAGCTCGGAGACCCTGGTTTTCAAGTTTAAGGGTTGAAACCTGATCTCGGAGCTCGCCGTTTTTTGTTTCTAGAGATTCACGCTCGGTATCGCTCATGCGAGATGCCCGGGTTCCGTCACTCGCCCGCGAGGCGGATCTATCCTGGGCTCTGGATGCTGAACGTTCAAAAATACTATCACCGGCGATTGAACGTCCATCAAACCGTCGTTGTAGTTTTAATTCTTCGATCTCGTGGTAGAGCCGTTCCTTTTCACGATTGCGCGAAGTAAGCATCGACGTCTGGGCACTAACCTCTCTACGTAGCTCGGCATTCTCTTGCTTCAAAAGTTCTATTTCGACAAGCGTACTGCTGCTTGCGGTTCCCCGTGTCGCACTACGAACAGCATCTCTATCAGAGTCAGGATGTGACATGACAGAAGACATCCCTCGTCGCCGAGTGCTCCTTGAATGGGTTGTCGACACCGCATCGCCACCTCTCATCTGCAATATTTCCTCTCTAAGATGCCGATTTTCTTCCTCAGCTTGTTCTCGGGCAGCAGCCTCCGCATCCAACATGTCTTTCCACATGTCCTGAAACATACATTAGTCGCCCTGATACGTCAAATATAATGAAAAGATACAGGAACAAATGGAATGTTAACTCACTCTTTCCTCTCTAGCTCCAGCTTCTGAGCCAACAACCCTCCCATCGCTTAAAGACTTCACCATTTCTGCCAATCTTCTCTTCTCGGTTTCCCTCGCAATACTTTCGGATCTTAACCTTTCGATCTCAATTTCGTAAGTTTCTAGTCGTTCTTGTAGATATATCAGTTCTTCCTCCTCCATTGTCGCTCGTTCTTCTTCGGAACCTGACGCTCCCTCGTCTTTTACGTCGCCCTTCTCTCCCTCGCCATGATCCCGAAGTTGTTTTTCTAGTTCCCGGATCTTTTTTCTCAGTGATTGGTTGTCCTTCTGCAGCTTCAGTTTGTCTGACTTTAGCTCCACGTTTTCGGAGATCATTTCCTTGACGCCCTCTTCAGATCGCTTATTTAGAGCTTCGTTCAGAAAGTGGATGCGCATTTTCAAGTCGAAGTTTTCTTTTGAGAGCCTATCGATAGTGCTACTCTGTTCTTTGAGTGTCATATTCTTTCCGCGACTGAAGCCAGGAGTCGGCGCTCCGCGCTTATCGGGGGATAGGCCAAGGTTTAGATTGCTTTCGCGGAACTGGCGAGCGAATGTAACGGGTACCTGAATATCTTGAACGTGTTGGGCAATAACTGTATCAGTTGGTAGCGGTTGGTCAATAGCTTTCGCTTTAGGAGTTGTAGGGACTGCATCATCGTCAGCTTCCGCCGTCTTTCCTGACGACGTTGGGCGCGACTGTGACGCGGCATCCTCCTCATCTAGGGTATGCAAATTTGGCTCCGAAATACCGCTGAATCCTCTCCGCTCAAGGGGGTTTTCGTCACTAAAACCCGAAATCCCAGAAGCCATGCTACCTAAACTTGTCGATCTCGAAAGTTCTCTTGTCTGTTTTCTATCGCCGTGTGGCCTAAGGTCGTTGTTTGCGGGTACTGCTCCTCCAGATTGTAAAGCGTAGTCTACACCTATGTGGGCATCGCTGGAAGTCGTATCCGTATTTACAGATGAAGTCGAGTAGCGATGGGATGACTGTCTGCTAGTGAGGAACTTGGGTCTCTTCCGCCTCCGATCCGAAGGCGTGCCGGCCGTGACTTGAGAATTGCCTGCCTCGCTCGTATCTCCATCGGTAGGGTCACCACGCCGTCGGCTTGATAGGGATCGTGATAACGAAAAGCTTCGTCGCTGACAGGTCCTGCTGCGCCTTGGCGTGGCTTCCGTATCTTCGATACCTGCATCTGCATTGCTCTCAGGCTTGTTGTGTCCTTCCCCATGATTATTCTCACCTTCGTTTCCAATACTTGTAGTCGCAGAGAAAGCGCGCGACATAGTCCTAGCAGCGGCCGCAGCCGTGGGGGATGATAAGGGTGTTTCTAGCGATGTAGTATTAACGGACACTTTGGACTGGTCTAGTGGAGTATCTCCCAGATTCCCAACGGAGTCCTCATCCTCAAATACCGATGGTTCCAACTCGGCAATTTGCTCCTGTTCAGGAGCTCCGTGTGCGTCAGTTGCTGGAGTTCGAGATGGGGAAGACGAACGGTTATTCTGTTCTTCCACTCGCGAAGACTCGGCCGGACTGACACCAACAAGATATGTGTCGTCCAGCCCCATGGGACCTTCGCCTACCCGGATAGCTGATGGCTCCGGTAAGAAACTTGACTCTACGTCCATCAGCTTGCGATGCATCTCTCCTTCCTCCACCGTGGTTCGATTCGGTATGCTAAGGTCGCCGTCGTCATGGTCGTCAGTATTGGCGATGTTGTGCGTTATGCTATCATCGTTTGATATGTGGATTGCGGGAAGGGGTAATATGCTGCTTGAATCGTAATCGTTCTCCGGCCCGGGATTGGGATCGCCAGGTTCGCTGAGGTCGCAGGGGGTGCAATGATTGTCGGGTTGCTGGCGCGGGGATAAGGGAGGGGAGGAGGGCGGAAGTGACGTCGCAGGATGGCCACTATCAGCCATAGCAAAAGGATTTATTCGATTGCATCCGTGTCCCTCAAAGCAAGCTCCTTCAACTCGCAGTGTTGTGGTCTAACTGGATTCATCATATGTAAATAGACCACTAAGCCGGACCCGGATCATAAAATATCCGAAGGTCCCAGCAACTCCCATCCATGATCCAAGCTCGCAACCTTGGCATTCATCCCAAAAACTGACAAAGTTCGATAATGAATAGTTGGATACTAAAATTTTAATACTACTCCATGATAAAAATAGCATTCTTTCAATAAAATATAAGCTGCAGTTCATCCGATTCAACTCGATGTGTCGGACTTTTCGTTAGCAAATGGAAGCATTGCGAGTCCGGCTGTCAGCCCAAAATGGGCCCATACCGTTCCTGACGTTCTCAAAGCGAAGGAGTTCGTAATTTATGAAAATTTTATTTGCGATTTAACCAACCTACGGAGAGTGGAGTCACATCAAAAAGTTTATGCTCTGGCACTCAATGGAAGATTCTGGGTGGTTCCGACGGGAAAAGAATCCATTTTCTTGCCTTGCCATGGTGGAACATTTGAAATCATCTAGAGCCTTGAGGGGGAATGTGGGAGAGGTGCGTAGGCTGGATTGCGGATTGCATGAACCACATGAACTTTCCTGGAAATACAGGCCCCAAGCCATGGCGAAGGGGCATGTGTTTTCATGGGCATGATGGGCAATGTAAAATAGAAGAAGAGGGAAAATACTGATGATAAACAACTCATCAAAAAGGCAGCCTGGGGAGTTATGTCAAACTCTGGGTTTGTGTACTTTGGTTCTAGGGGAACCCCAATACGGTGGCTGTATTTCATTCGTCTGGTGATAGTCTGTGCTCCAGAAGATAGGAGTAAATTATGAAAAAGATAATCTTTGCGATTTTCATGGCCTAGTCCGTGAATGATCCTATGAAGTTCTGGTGATATCGACGATGTTGAAAGTGGTGACCAAAAACAACCATAGAAGCTGACAAGAAAGGTATGATAAAAGACTAAATGTCACTCAAACTGGAGAACAATTTTCTTATTTTCCTGCTCTCCAAAAGAGATTTCAATTTCAGTTTGCTACACTGGTCTAACTATAATTGACTGGTGATGTCAGAAAATCAGGCCCTTTTTTTGTGGCTCCTTGCAAATAATTTTTGGTTCTGATGGCTTTCGTAGATCATACTGTGTGCGTTTCATGGTTTGTTGCCGATGTTGATGCCAATTTTTTGCAGACGACGACGCTCGCTATTGGATAAACATATCTCATTCTTCATTTCAACCATATATACATATGCTGTAAGAAGGTAAAGTACTATCCGGAATAACTTATTAAAAGTATGTAATAGGGTAAAGATGTATTAATCATAAGACACTGGTGGGCATAAGGCATGAAAAGTCAGAGGGTCGAAAGGTAAGGGACTTTCGAGTTCAGTAGGAATAACTCGAATAAAAAAAAAAAATAGGGGGGTGGGGGGTTTAAAGGTAAAAGGGTGATAATTGTCGAGGGTCGCAACAAATACAACGCTTGCAAAAAAAAAAAAAAAAAAAAAAAAAAAAAAGAAAAAAGGGAAGCAGTGTATCATGTCATAAGAATTGCGCCGACTTTTTACTGAAGTAATAAAACGGAAGATATAAGAACGCCTGAACGTGATGAGGTCACCGAGCAAACAAATGAAAAGTTTGAGTTATGCTAATCAGTCGGCAATATTAGTCGGCCAGCGTGATGTCGCCTAATGTAGGATGAGGAGTCTCGGGTTGCTCCTCTCCTTTGGATTCCTGTTCTTCTGGACGAAGGGAACTATCAAATTTCTCTTTTTGAACCCGGGCAGCTTGTAAACAATCAATATATGTCCGGAACTTGACAATCTCCCGAAGGAGATAGGACGACTTGCGTTCCCAATTAGCAAGCGACTTAGTTGCATTCGGGTGTCGAGGCGTAAAGGCAAGCACCATGGCTGGTCGAAGCTCATTATGGCGTTTCAGCTCTTCTTCCACGTATTTTACGTAAGAACAGAGTGCATCAAGCTGCTCTCTTTCGGTAAGGGTTGATGCAATCATGCTTTGTTGCGGTGGCATCCAATCACTGATGTGAATTCTATCAGCAGGAAGCCGTGGGCGAACGCTTTGTTGATCGATCGAGCTCCGAATGGAGCTCTGAATACTGAGTCGAGTTCCAGAGGAGCTCGTGGGTTTATGGTCCTCGGGTTGAGGCAGAGCATGATTTATGACGGCATCACTCCAGCCGTACTCGATGTTGCTGATTCCACCGAACATAGGCTCTTTAGAGAGTCTGGCGCTCCAGTAGTTTGCCGTGGAAACGAACTCCTTGACAATTTCTGGTGTGCCAACTTGGAATAAGTGGACTGCTCCAGTAGGGAGACTCAACGCCCAAACATAAGGTCGGGACTTGGAGTATCCGGGCTGCGGCAATGCGCTGGCTATCGTATGGCGCAAGAGGAATTTCCATGTTTCCTCTGCATTCTCCATCCAATTCCCTCCGCCAACGACGATACCACCGTTTTGTCTCTGCTTAGGCTTCAGCCGCGTCGACTTGGTTAACGAATTAAAAGAAAACAACCGCATCCACCCTCGCTGAATGACCGCGAAAGTTTCATTCCAGTTCCTATCCTTCGCTCGTTTATCGACAGAGTCAAGGTGGTGTTTATGTTTCAAGCTCCCCTCCTTCGCCCACGGTGCTCCAGCTAGCTCTAACGTGTCATCCTCGAGTAAGGATTCCGCACGCGTAGAGTCTTCCGTTCCAAGAATGCAGCTAGCAGAATCCTCCCTGATGATAGCATGGCTCAATGCATTTGCAAATCCAATCGACTGCTGATAGTCACCTCGCGGGTACTCAGAACCTAAAGAATCGACCGACATAGACGTTAGTGTTTTACCCAAGGAGGCCTTGCTCCATGTGCTGGATGCCGTTGGTGACCAAACTGATTGATCATCTAAACTAGTGCGACTGGACGTCATCGTAGATGGCGGATACATGCGCGGTCGTGACCTTGGTTTGGATGCCCATCGAGCCGTGGACAACCGATGATCCGTGGGGCGACCACGGGTAAAAAGATCTGATGTAGTGGCTCTGCTTAGGGTACTTGGTGTCCTTCGTAACACGTTGCTTGTAAGCGTTAGGAAATTATTGGAAGGCTGCTGTTCCTCAGGCTCCGCCTGGGCTCCGCGCAATGGAAGCCGCCGCTTCTGGATGGAATTGTAGAACTCCTTGAGAGCCGATTCGATCTGATTTTCCCACGCCTTTTTCGTGCCTCGGAATGGAACATTCACAAGTTGGATAGAACTAGCAGCTGAGATATCACCACCATTGATATTAGGGATGTTAGCTGCAGCGGTCGCTTTTGAAATATTATCTTGTGGAGTGTTTAGGAAGTTTGACGCAATGTTCGTTTCGTTGTCATCCCTCTCACGATAGGGGGTTGAAGCCCTCCCCGGCTGTGACCCACTATTGTCAGTGCTTCGAGGCCGGTGGAGTTTGTTGGAGGTGATGCCCTCAAATGCGTCAGGCGCCGCATCCACCACGACTCTCTCAATCGTGGGCATGGTATTACGAATGAACTGGTTCCGTGTCATCTTTTGTTCAATGTCGGCTAAATGAAGGTCGGTATTCAAAAGTAAAAGAGAATAACATATCGTATGTACAACATCTGAAAGGTCTATCAATTGGACTGTTATCTTGCTTTGGAGGAAAGGTCGAATGCCCAAAACGTACCTGTTGCTTTGAATCCATGGTTTGGATTGCATTCACACCAACGAGATGAAAATGCATCGAGGACCCGATCGACTTGTTGTGTTTCGCCCTTTAGAGCCATCTTCGAGCATAAGCTGCGCATGGCGGCCAAAATATCCATACCCGACCAATCAAACAAATCTAGATACGCCTTTCTGACCCCAGCTCTGTCAGGGTTTCCAAGCCATGTGGCTGTAAGCTCAGCCTTCTGGCCATCCTCGACCGAGTCGTAAAGCTTCTGAGCTTGGTCCCGATCTGCGGCACTGGGGCTTCCGCCGGTGCCAATGTCGGCCGCATCCTCCCGTCTCTGATCCACACTTTCTTCAATCGGCGAGGGAGACGTCGTTATCATTTTTCCGAGGTTTGAATTGAGGTCCTCAGCGGGACTCATAAGGGGTGTATTCAAGGCAGTCTGATAAGTAGAGACGGTGGTTGCTGCTGAAACCGGAGGCGATTGGACCGACGCTTCGAGCAATGACGCCGGCTTGGTTGGCTCATGCTTTGGATCTGATGATGGGACAGGTTTAGGGCGGGCTTCCTCTCGCACATGCATGCCCGTGCTAACAGAGAGTTTGTTGTCAACTCTAGTAGCCACCTTTGAGTTCTGTTTACTTCCATTGCCAGTTAACATAGTGTTACGTAACGATGTCTCAGGAACAGGGCTTGTCTTAGGTCGTTTAGATAAATCCTCAGGGCTTTGTTTGGGAGCGCCTTCATTCCCACTGCTATCCACCAAGAAAGAATCACCGCGGTTAGAGAGCGCGGAATTCGGATCAATGCCAGATTTTGCGTTTGAAGTGCTGTTGACATGTGAAAATTCCGATCTACCATCCGTACATGGACGCTTGCTTCCAGCCATATCTCTTGGTGCCTCTCTCACGGAGTGTTGATTTCCGGGCTCAATTTCGAGTCTAGCCAAATGTGCATCAGGTTCTGTAAACATTTTTGATTCGTTAACGACAGGAGAAGAGGCCCCGGTCATGTAGGGCTTCATAAGCTCACGGAGGCTACCGCTCGGGCTCGGCTCCGCGTCTACGTTTCCTTGTGCATGAACAAGTTTCAGATTAGAATTAGGTATAACCAACGGGGGTGGAACATGATCTGTCGAGGATTTCTTTCGTCGGCGGAAGAAAGATGATGGCTTTTTAGTCACGATTGAAGTATTATCGCGACCCACGCCGTATTGGCCATGTTGAGGATAGCCCTTAGAACTGTTGGGAGCGCTCTGTGATTCCCTGGGCCGACAGAAACCTTCATTATCCCGAGCGTAACTCTGTGTTTTCTCCGGTTGAGGAGGTGACGACGACTTGTACGATCCAAAAACTCGTCGAAAGAAGCCGTATCGTTCTTTGGGCGGTGGGGTGACAGATTCCACGGGAGGGGGGAATTGAACCGGTTTGTGGAGTGCAATTGTGGGGCTAGGGGCAGGTATACGGGCGTGAGGCGGCATCGGAGGGATATCGGGGCGATTGTCTCGAAGGTGCCTACTGTCGTCAGGCCGTCCTTTGATAGTGGTCGTTCCTAAGGTGTCAGACCGTCCCTTTCTGTTGTACATGCTCCGCGCAGACTTAGTACTGTTCTTGCGAGACAAAGCAGGAGTCCGACCGTTCCCAGTGGCCACATATTGAGAATTGGAGTAATCCTTAACGGCAGGAGAATTGCTTCTTCGTGGCCCCACGGGCACATTGGGTGTAGGTGCGGCGTTGATGTCATCATAGAGTAACATGGCATTATCCACCGGTATTGTCGCTGGGCCGTCTGCGCCGTAATCGAAACTAATGGAACGCCTTCCTCTACCAATACGACTACCCGCCAACATTTGGGTAATGTCGAGTCCGGAAGAATCGCTGCTGCGGCTTCCATTCCTCAAGCATCGGGAAGATTGCTTGCCCATTGTCGCCCGTTGTGCCTCGAAGACCCTGCTGCGATTGCTCAGTTTTTCTGTTCCGCTATCGACATCATCAACCCGTCGGATCGTGGACTGGAAATTGGAGCTGCTATTGCTGCGACGTCCACGTGCAGATTGGCCACAATAACGGCTGCCGCTATCATCAAATCGTTCTATTTCCGAAGAAAGGGAAGAAGAGAAGGTGTGACCACGATGACGACTGAAGTATGCAGTCGCATAACGGGAATACAAGGTGTAGGGGTCGGGGTCTTGCGACCGGGAGCGATGTGGTTCCTCCAAAGAATGGAAATTGGTCTCTGAAAACTGATCTAATGAAAGGAGCATGTTATCCACGACGGAAGTTCTGGTGACGTGCTGCGGAGATAACGAAAGGTCATGGGGATCTCTCTCGTCATCTCCTGAGTCTTCGTGTTGGTTCCCGTCGATTGGAGTAATGTCGTCAAGAAAGGTTTCCGGAAAGGAAGATCGTGTGCCTAGGAGTCCATTCTGGCTATCTATGTAATTGACATGGCGGGGAGGGGTGCGTGGAGGGGAAGCATCGTAATAAGGGTCATGTTGCCAAGGGATTTCGGAAGACATTTGGTATGCAGACATGACCAAGGTGCCTATGGTGAAAGGGATCAGAAGATTTTTTGGTCGCCTTTCTCCCAGCTAGAGATGTGAAGGGGGGATTCAGGGGACGTCAATGTAACGGAATATGGTTGACAGTATTGCCGTTGGCGAAGCCCCATGGGTGTCAGTACATGGCTGGAGGGACTGCCGGGGTAAACGGCTTGTGCAGTGGGCGCTGAACGGGTTTCGAAGCAAGGATGGAGCAGAGAGCAGGCCCGAGGAGTTTCTCTACGAGACGAACTCTGGGATCGGAAAGAGAAAGTGGTGGTGATGAAGGTAACGAACGTATCGACGGTTCAGAATGCGGTCCCTGAAATGAAAAAGAATAGATTAGCCTGGCTTTTGGTAAAAACCAACTAATAACAGCCCGACGCAAGGGACGGACCTTGGGGATAATGGATAATTGCAGGGTTTAATTCGAGCGAACACCCTGGACGTACTCCGGGTAGAAGTAAAGAGGGCAGAAACCCCGGTAACTCACGGCGGCGAAGATCAGATTAGTCGTTGCCGTCGTGTCCTGGAAAGCTCACTGAAGCCGCATGCGAGATAAGAGAGGTTCACGGAGTCATCTCTCTGGGACGGAAGATGACGAATGGAACAGGAGGGGAAAAAGAAAAAAAAAAAATAGAAAAAATCGAGTTTGAAGGAGTGGTTCTTCGCGGACAAAATGATGGGATCCCTGTCGTTAATTGGATGGGCTATTATTGGCGGTTCAAAAGTTGTCTGATCATGACGCTGATGCAGTTCAACAACTTTGGAAAAGCGAGTGTCGTCGTGAACTCCAGTCCAACAAGGCGAAAGGTTCAATCGATTGGGTTTGAGTGAAACAATTCGTGATACCAAGAGGATGTCCGAAGCCCGGGGTCAATGTGCCATTCCGAGTTCGTCGGTGACGGTGGTGGTCGAGTCTCGCATCGTCCTCTCCTGGTGGTCTGAACTCTTTGGTTGGTGGAGGTTGCAAGGGGTCACGGGAGTAGTAGAAAGGGGAAGGTTGCAAGTTCGTCTTCGACTGAATCAGGGGTAAATTACATAAGTACTCCGTACAGGTTCCTCTGTAAAGGGAGGTTACCGCGTCTCTTAGACGGCGGCCAGCCAATAGCCAGCCGTCCGCCATGCCACTGACGCAGGCCATCGGGACAGCTAGCTTGATTACAGTTTAGCCCGGACCACGTGTCAGATCTCCATCAAGGAAGGTTCTCCGCTTTTGGTCGGGAGGGATTGGGTTGTTTGTATGTATGTATCCAGTACGGAGTACGGAGTGCATTTTACTGTGTACAGTGTGCTGCTCCCGGGACAATGCAATCCTAACTGATGAATAGTGTGGAAGTGCATATAACTAACAATATCTCTGATCTTATTCTTACATTAATATAGGCTGTCTGTGGAAAGTGTGGATGTATGTACACGGAGTACTCTGTACTGTACTGTACATATATATACATACATGCAATACATAGAGAGTACTCTGTACGGAGTACAAAAGGCACGAAACAATCCAATGTAGCTATGGTTGGACAGAATACTCTGTATCACACCTTAGAATTGCTGTGCTAAGTGAGGTTTTCATGGCAAGAGAGCAGCCTCATCCACAAAGTGCACGCGAACATGCATGTACGGAGTAGTGAACAAGCATTTGTGCTTCATATCCTCACAGAGTGTGCTGAGGTCAGGTGTGTGTATGCTCTGTATACATAGGGCAGAACATGGAACGTAAATTGTATGAATTACTTGTGCTATGTAATACCATCCTCTTTGAAGCATTCGATGTTGCATTGGGTACGGAGTACTCCGCACGACTGACAGATGTCCCTTTGACGCGCATATCCGGTTTGTCACCAGGCGCCAGCCTTATCTCAAACCTTCCCCAACCTTGCCCAGCGGTCCGCCCGTGGACCGCATTAAGGTTCTTGCGAAGCCGAATTCACGTGATGGCGACCGCAATATGGGGTGGATGATTGGCTGGATGACCACAGCGTCATCGTGGGCAGAGTCACCAAACAAACCTGCGCTGAGCTCCATCGAAACACGTTGATACTCTCGAGCGCCTTTTCTAGACTCCCTGCACCGAAAGCAACCCGTTAATACTGAGACAGGTTTTGTTTTTTTTTTTTTTTTTTTTTTAACTCTTGCATGCAATTTCTCGATCTCCATTGAATATACCCACCGGTTGAGGGGCCATGAACCCTCATATTTCAGTCCCCCGTCAGCATGGCGGCCCAGCCAATTTTGGCGGGACATCTCCGCCAAATCGAAACACCTCCATACGGTTACCAAGGTTTTTCCGGAGGTGAGTGTTATTACTTGCCGAATATGCCAGGCTGTGTGCTGCTTACGGTTGCCATTGCCTTGTGGGACAATCGGACCATGGCTAATGAATTAGATTGTTTAAATTTCCGCAAATGGACTTTGAAATGGCCATTTGGGAGATGACGTCTCTTCTGATTGCACCAAAAAAGGTTTTCAAGTCAATGTATTATCATGTGCGTGTACCTCTCTCTATTTCCGCATGTCATTTCTCCAATCTAAACCGTTACTGACTCGTGGCCTCATTGGACGTAGAAACGTTTGTGTCGCCCAATCTCATCTAGGGAACATTTTCCTTTTGTTCTTAAATGAATCATTAGTCTGACTATGATGCCCGAAACCAGAAACAAAGAATACCTGGCACAGACCTGACCCGTCCTTCACGTATCTTCTCTCCTTCTTTCTCCTTCTTACCGCTCTCGCCTGGGGCCTCGCATACCGACCGAGCTTTAGTTCCATTATTCGGCTCGCTGCTTCTTTCATATTTATCCACTTTATCGGCTCCTCCCTTCTTATTTCCGCGTTGGCGTACTTTTCTATGGGAAGAATATTTGGACCCAGTGGTCCAGCATCCTCCCTCATCGAATGGCGGGGAATGAGGTCTGGTCTAGGCCGAGTACGGCGTCGGGGAGCTGCTCAGGGGCTGTTTGCACAGCCCGGGGAAAAAGAGCAGGTCGAGTTTGGATATTGTTTTGATGTGAGTGTCCCTTTCATATTCGAGCCAGGATTGAAGGGTTGAAATTAACACGAAAAAAGGTCTCCAATCGCGCATTTTTCCCTCTATATCTTCACTTATACGTGATCCAATTCCTGCTTCTCCCACTATTGACTCGGAAATCCGATTCCTCTCCAAGTTTCCTTGCTACACTCCTTGGAAACACCCTCTACCTCTCTGCGTTTACGTATTACATTTATATAACATTTCTTGGCTATAACGCTTTACCGTTCCTCCACCACACAGAGCTTCTACTACTGCCAATCCTCATTCTTGCTATACTCTGGTTTGTCAGTTTGATCCTGGGTTGGGGAATCGTGGGCCAAGGGGGTGCAGTAGCGGGATTGTTTTGGGGTATTTAGACCGTTCGTGTGTTGAGTGGGACACTACCGACGATTGGACTTTTTGGCAGCATAATTTGGGCCTACAGTTTGTCGCAATGGCTGCCGATTGCTCAAGGCTCATGTGATGCCTGTCTCTTGTATACCCTCCAGAGTGACATTTTTAAGTTGAGAGCGCTGCATCAACCATAGATTTGATTGCTTCTTTTGATTTTATTCTACATTGTTGTTTTAGCGGGATTGGCTTGTATTACAGCTTTCACGTACGGAGAATTCCGTGCGAAATATCAAAATCGTGATTCCTAGATATGCGCTGGAAACCATCGTTGCAAGTCCTTTGCATTGTCACAATCCGATCGTTGTTCGTTCCAATCTGGTGCCAACCGACCGATGAGTTCTCTTTGAGATAAGATCTACGGAGAATCTCCATAATGTATCGACCGACGACTACTGACTCTCTATCCTCCGTATACATATGAGAGATATCGAAGGCCCAAAATCTAGTCTTACGGGATCCGCGGGGCCCGGAAGATTTCTCCTAGGGTTTTAAAGAAGCCTTCTCGATCCCCTGGCTAACGCTATTAGTTAGCAGGAAACCTTATAGCAGGAAAACTTATAGCCCAACGTCGATACGAGGCCTGACACATAAGTTCTCTCGCCAACATATGACTTGGTGGCAGTCACTGCCGTCTGAAAAGAATACGAGTCGGCGAGCTTTTGAGGGTTGAATATGCCGATATGTTCCGATTTCGACCTTTGAAACTACCAAGTCGACATACTGCCCACTGTTTGCTGAAGCTGGTCCAAGTAAGTATGGGGCATCTTGTGCTGGCAATGACGAAAGTGAAAAGCATTAGCTCCTGTCGTGTAGTGCGATGATGGAGTTGTGCTCAATGCGTCACTTGATCTCTATTCGGCGGTCCATGAATATAAAAGGGCGCGTGTAAAGGCCGTTTGGAGATAGGCATCAGCGTCGTTTTGTCAAACCACTTCATAAACACCAAATAATGGCATATCCACCTTCGATCCCCGCGCGGTCAACATTCATTTCTTTCCTGAGGTGTCTCCAATACCATTCCAAGCCGATCACCTCATTCCGGTCCACCTTGTCTAGACGGATCATAAATCCGCGGGGCCACCGCATTTCAGAAGATTGCTATACGGTTACATTGCCAAATACCACTGCGATTTTTATTGCTTCTGCAGATTCAGCGGGTCCGCTATCACAAAACGTTGGAACAGAATCAAAGCCGATTGCGCAATTTAGTGATGAGGAGCTCCTTGCAAGATTCACCCGCGGGTTTTTCGGAGGGAATATCTTCGCGCCCGAGAGGTTTATTTTGGGAATCGGTGGTGCGAAGATGTTCCAGGCCCAATTCGATGGTCTGTCTGCATAAACAATGTTCCTGAAACCAATCGCTTGCTCTATATTGTCTAACCGATCCCCAGGATATCAGCAGCGCTTCGAACATGGGCATAGTGTTGGCGGGATAGACGTACTAAAACCTTCCGACATTCCAAAAGACAAGCTGTTACCAATCAACTCAAAGATCTACGGAGGATTTCTCGTTATTGACTCTCACATACTTCCGACTTCCTCGACACCTTCTCAAGGCTCAACCAACGAGTTGGAGACACTTTATTCATATATCGACATTGGCTTTGGCCTTGGTGACTTTGGGGGCGCCCATCGCTTCTCGGTACATCGACAATGCCCGCACGAGCCCCAAAAACAAGCCAACTGGATATCTAGTGAAAAGGATCGGGAAGTGATAACCTTCAGTTTGTCTCATTTCACTTGCAACCCGAATCGGGCAGAAGACACCCTTGCGACGGTACGGTATTTGAATTGGTTCCATCAGTTGTACGCGAAGGTACTATTCGCAGATGCATTGAAAGGTGTCATGGGCTACTATTGAGCTCCCCGGGCACCTGTGTTAGTTCAGAGTATTGTGTACGATATGATGACAACGGTTGGGATGTACGGCGAAAGGGATTAAAAAGGGCGAAAAAAAATAAATACTCCGTAGACTGTCTGGTCTGGAGTAGTTATCTATATAATTTACGCAGAGATGTGGCCAAAGACCGGCACTCTCTGATTTATTCCAGGCCTGGCGCGAGTTGGAGTAGAATTAAAATGGCAAAGGAGGCTGTTTTCATGCATATATATATTTGGCATTGCAACATCATATCATCGTTATTTGAATGAGTTGTCAACATGACCTGGACACAGCACCTCAATTCTAGATCCAATGCGACTCCTTCCAGCCAGTGCAGGAAAAGCCAAAGACCAGCGTCGCCCAATCGCAGCCACTGAGATCCATGCAATATCATCATTGTCGTTACAGCATACACGCAACGAGAAACCAAGATTGAACGGACTGGCATTGCTCATTTGCTCCTTCCAGCAGTCTTCTTACCTCCTCTACCTCTGGCACCAGAGCCCATGGCTGCTTCACGCAGCTTGGCCTCTCTGGCCTTTTGCTCTGCCTTCTCACGCTCGCGTTCTTCACGCTCATCCTTTTCTGCCTGCTTTCGTGCTTTTTCTGCCTCACGGCGCTCTTTAACAAGAGCTAGCCGCGCTAAGTCAGCACGAGCCTGCTCTGTCTTCCCTTCTGCGTGCAACTTCATATATCGCTCCCGAGCTTGTTGAGCCTCGATAGCTTCGCGCTCGCGGCGAGACAGCTCTCCAGGAGCCCTCGGAGTAGGTATTCCATTTGCAGCATTCGCTGCCTGCGAGCGCGATTTCGCAGTATGATTAGGATTTGCCGGCATGTCATCGTCGGATTCCTCCTCGCTCTCGGATGGTGGGAGATCTCCTGGAGCTGCCGCTACTTGGTTCTTCCTGGCTATGGCAGCTTCTTTTCGAGCTTTTGCGGCCGCTTTACGCTGCTCACGGGTCATTTCTTCAGGAATAGACCGAGATGGACCGGCCTCATCCTCAGATTCCTCTTCTGACTCAGACTCTTCTTCCTCTTCGGAGGAGAGAGGGTCGTCATCGGGATCCTAGGATAGATGAAAATTAGGATGAGCATTTAAATCAAGGATAGAGAGAAAACGCACCCTCCACATGCCAATAGGATTTCCGTCTTTGTCTAAAGGCTGAACATCACGGCTGAAATGCTTTCCGCCTACACGAACAGAAGGGAGGAGCTTGTCAGACTCGGCCTCACTGGGGGAGGAGCAACGATCTTAAAAGCTTAATCATACCTCCACGAGTAGGTTTACTGAATTTTCCTCCACGGCCACGGGGAGCCATTTTGCACACGATGGAAAGCCGTCTAGTTTTCCAAAGACCTGCTGGTGGTGATCAGGTTCAGTCGCGAACAAAGCTGCAAGTTGGCGAGGGGCAGAGTCCAAACGCGGGGCACGTGCAGGATATGAAGCTCAAGACGAGATTTGAATAACAGTATTTTGAAGAAACAGTCGCTCAGAAATAGAGGCACCGAACCGGGCTACCACTCAAGACTTTGACCGGAACAGAAGAAGCTGATGGCGGGGAGGGAGAAAGAGGGGAACGAGGCGACGGGCTATGTGACTGTTCTTGAGCTGCATCCTGAATATCACTTGGCACCAATAGGTTGCAGATCCATCCAACTGTTTGCATTGTTTGCCCATCTGCCCCTTTTTGGTCTCGCCGACGACACATCAAAAATCGTCCGCATCCGCTCTCTCGCCATGAGGAATGTCATAGGCACCATGGCCTGCCTCACACCAGAATTACGTCCAATATGGGCCCATTGGATACGCATGCTAGTGCGTATTTTGGAAGACTTTCCCCTTCTATTTAGTCCATTTCCCATAATTGGGCGCTGCATCTGTTCATAGTACCCAGCCCATAGCTGGGAAATGGACTAGAGGATTCACCGTCCTCTAGCCAAGCAAGTTTTCCATTTCTCATAGAATGTTTAGCTCTTATGTTTCGGTTACTATTTTTATGATATCCAAGCTTCTCGAAAAAAAAAAGGATGGATTTTTGGCGAAGCGCAAATGTCCTTCCAAGCGGCAGTGAGGCAATTGCCATTTCCATGCAGGGAGAGCACCTAATTCTATACTACCTCCGGATGGTTCTCTCGGCGCACTGTGATGTGTTACTCAGTGAAAGAAATTTTCTTTCCTAATGTTTATCTTCTCAGCTCCTGTCACACGAGGTTACGGAGCTAGTGGAGGAGGAACACATCCACAAGTGATAAATATTTCTCCAAAGCTCTCAGAGTCTCTCTCCTTTTTTCGTCTCTTTTCCTTCTCACATCCAAGAACTTTTCTTAAGCTTCATTTGCTTTATGCTTATATTGCTTAAGCTTCCTCACGTGTTTTCTTTCCGTCTCAACCCTCCTTCTACTATCAAGAACAAGGCCGGCCTTGCCTTCAATGTTAGCTTGAATTCATTGAAATTCACCTGAGATAGAGAGACTACTTTGTTGAACTTACTCTTTCAGACTCCATAGTTCATACAACCAGCTCTCTGCTCCATATCAAGAACCTGAGAAAGTGATAATTGTTAATTGAAAAATGTGAGATTTCCTTCAGTTAACACTTGTTGGAGCAATAAAGGTTTACCCTTATTATATCACTGCTCAAGCTAACAAAGTCTCACTCTGGCTTGCCTTTGCAGTATCCTACATTGTAACAAGGAAGGGTCCTTTCGATCGAAATGGCAACGGCTTCTGAGTTCACTTCTCCTCGAGAACTCGACCTTCCAAATTTCTCCACCGTCGCCAGTTCGGTGTCCCGCATGGAGCATCGTGTCCTCACTTGCAATCCCGGCATGCCTGGAGGCTTGTTTCCTTCGAGGGATTCAAAGGTGGGGAAATTTGATGTATTTCCTGTTGAACTCATCTTCAAGATTTTCGCAAATCTCGACTTTGCTTCCCTAATCAAGTTTAAAAAGGCCAACTACGCAGCGTTTGCATTAGTTTCAGCCTATCTACCGTTCGAGGTCGCAATGAAACATAGCTCTGAAACCCTTAGAGCCATCCAATCTGTTGGAACCTTGAAATTTGTGAATGCTTCAGAGCTTTTCGAAGTCATGCGGTCGACTAGATGCTCTCAATGTGGGAACACTGGCCCGTTTTTATTTATTCCTCTTCTAAAACGGACCTGTTGGAAATGCATTCCTACATTCCGAATCTACAAAGTTAGCAGCGTTAAAAGATGTTTTGGCCTTGATGATTCACACTTTCGCAACGTTGCAACATTCCGAACCATCCCAGGGACCTACGGGGTGCCACTTAGACAATACGATGTGATCCAGCACTTGATCTCAGAGCCCGGTGCCCAGCAAGCTCGGTTGGAAGCTGGTCATTTTGATCAGATGCAGAGTGACCGCCGAACGTCTCTGGCTCTTGCTTTGTCTCAATATCAGGGATACCTTCGCAGTGCACGAGCCAATCTGTACGATCTGTCTGCTCTTCCACAGGGAGGTACCCCTACTCGCGGACCTAGAACCTGGGAAGCAAGTATTAACGAGGATACTCATCAGTATACTTACCTCCTAACCACCATTCTGCCCTTTGCAAACCTTGCCGAGAGGACCATACAGCACCCTAGATACTGTGCCGGATGTCTCTACGAAAGGCATATCTTTAAGACCCAGGTCAAGCGAACAATGTCAAACGAAGTTGAGGCAGAAAGGATGGAGATTGATACATTGTTCAAGGCCAGTAGAGCTTGGCTAGCTAAGGACCTTGTGGACCATCTTGCGGTCTGCGAATCGGTCCCTATACTCCTTGCAAAATCGCCAGTCAACTACACTCTTCGTTAGGCTTACAAACTGGTGGCATCCTTCGGTCTTGTGCTTCCCTAGCAGTCCTTAGTGGTGGTTCACTCTTCTCTTACCATTTTTGTGCTTTTTCTATGCCCTACCTTTGTGCGGCCCCTTTGTCCTTAATTTTTTTACCTTTTTTCTTTTTTCTCCCCAAATTGGCAACTTTCAATTGTCCCTATTCCATTTTAAAAAAGCAATTACATGAATCCCTTTGTTATAACCCCCCATCCCAATCCTAATGCGACATTAAATGCCCCTTTTCACGTTTAGCCCTCGTGCCTCGCAATAATACCCGACTCCCCCACCAACATGCCCTCTCAGTTTGTAATTTCCTTCTCAAGCTTTCTGCGATTTTCCCACTTCGGCTAACCTGAGATTCTGTTCTTTTTTACCAAGGGCCTTAGGAAATAGCTTATGGAATAAAAATTGAACTTTGCCCCTCTTAAATTTCCTTCATACTAATTGCTATATTCTGGCCTAGCCAACGTCTATCACTAAATTTCAAGCAGGCAAAACGTCCAACACCCGAACTCGCTACGCCATGCATGCATGTAAAAGGAAAGAAGAGATAAACCGAACTTTTGAAGGCAGCTCAGCAGACAAGGCATATGTCTTGCCCTCCGGCTACCTTGAGTAAAAAGAAGTCCGTTTCTATCCACGGAGCTCCTTACACTTTGGCCTTGATCTTCGCACCAGTTAATGCGTAGCGGGACATAACCAGCACACTCGTTCCCACGAGCATCGATAGTGCAGCAAATATCTGTGCATACAAATAATCACCGTTGCCCTTTTGAATGAGTGCACCGGCAATTGGCGGGCCCGTTAGTGATGCGACACTGACTATGCTCAGAATCATACCGAATCGAATTCCTGTTTTCTTCAAGTCGGTTGAAAGACTGGTTACTACGGCGGGGAACAGGGCCTGGAGACCGGCACCGAAGAATCCGTAAAGAATGGAAAAAGCATATAGACCGGGAGAATCCTTCACGCCTATCCACGCAAAAAGCATCATCGAAGTGATGAAAGTGAATGGAATGATCGTGTTTAGTGGTCCAATGAAGTAATCTGCGAGGTAGCTGGGTACCATTCTGCCGATGGTCCCCAGGGCATTCATGATCATGAGAAGAGTGATGCTTTCGGTTTGGGACACACCGAGTTTTGCTCTCGCGAAGCTGCTGACGTAAAAAAAGCCGATGTAGAGGGCCCAGAAGTTGAGGTACATTCCTACGGCGTAAAGGGAATACGGGCCCTCTTTGAAAGCTGGCCACTCGAAAAAGGGCCCACTGCGCCGGGGCGGAATACGTTGGCGGAAGAATACGAATCCTGGAGCCAGAGTCACCACGGTGATTAGGCCCAATACTCGCATGGTCCACGGGAATCCGACACGGGGCAGTAATTGCTGAACGATTACAGGGTATATAATCCCTCCAGTTGCAGATCCACACGCACCGATTGCAAGGGCTATTGAACGCCGCGAGGAGAAGTATGTTGACAGGAGTGTCATGGTTGGACAGAAGATCAACCCGCTTCCGATACCTAGACAGAGCCCCTGGGCCAAGAACAACTGCACATATGTTTTACAGAGGGACGTCATGAAGATGGCAAACATAATGGTAACAGCTCCCAAACCCCAGACGGGCTTGAAGAATCCAGCATCCGTTGCCCGGCCGGAAAATGTCCCTATGGCGAAGAGGAGAAAGGTTTGAATGCTTCCAACCCAGGAGATATCGGATGGTTGCCGCTGAAGTGTTTGAGTGTAGTATTCCTGGAACATTCCAAAGCTATTGATAAAGCCCCAGGTGTTGAAAATGACCAAATGGGCAAGGCCCGCTTGTAGCCATGCCTCAAATCCACCATCAGGAGGGGGGCCAGGGTTCCGTCCAGAGTCCTTTGTCCGTACAATGGAGAGAGTTTTGGTTATAATGCTCTCTTTCCCAACTGTCTTGGTCGGCTCGCGGCTAAGCGAGTATCGGCGATCTTCCTCGATTTCATCGCCAGCGTGGAACGATCCTTGTTCCACATCGCTAGGGAGCGAAGTCGATCCATTGTTTGGCAGGAGATCGTGATCAGAGGGTGGCTTTTCGAGATCCAAGGAAGAGCCTTTCTCCCCGGAGAGTGTGAGGCCTCTCTTCTCCATATTGCTGGGGGCAGTTTATGTTGTGGATCCTGCGCGCGGCTCCCAATTGAGGGATTTACTTCTGTTTTTACACCTGAACAGAGTGACGCGGTGGGGACCAAGCGAACCGAGCAAGCGGTGTTCCCGCTGTCACTTGCTGCGACGTAATCGTTGCCGACTGGTGAACTGTCAGCTCATGGGAGAGTCATCCGGGGAAAGAGTCCATGACTACTTACCTCAGTACCACGGTATTCGCAGTCCAATACTGTGGAGGAGCGATGATTTTCAAAGCATGGGGACTTCGGAAACACAAGCATATATGTATGTCGATTGACTATGCAAAAGATACCTTACTAACAGATGGTATATACCCGCCTCTCCCCGTGGGTATCTCTGAAAAAGTCCAACAGAAGGAAAAAAGGATTACAAATCGGGGGCAATGTGGAGAAGGGTTCCTTTACACACATAAGGCAGCCATAGCCTTTAATTTTCAAAAGGAAAGGAACAAATACGAAATATTGTCAAGAGAATTTCAGTGAGAAAAATGAATCATTTCCTTTAGCTAAAATTGTCCGCCATTCAGCGGTCAATCTGGATTCGCCTGGTGTCTCGACCCTCAAACCATCTTCCGAGAAGCGGGCTTCAATTTTTAGCGCCGGGATTTGAGGTTCAAAGTGGAGTGCGACCTTTTGAGACAATCTTCAACTTTGGTTATCTTTCCAGAGATATGGAGGCATCATCAATTGGATTGCGGCAAGATGCTTCGGGGCCTTTTGGATCTCCAGGATCATTGCTCCTGCGATTGGTTCGCCAAACTATCTGACTTCCATTATCCGTGCCCTGCTGCAGGCCACGGGCCCCGTGAGCAACGGCGGGAGGACGCCAGGGTTGGCGGTCCGGGTGAATCGGCACGCACGTTTTAACTGCGGCCCGAGATCGTCGTGCGAAGGGCGTGGGGGGCACGTGGGATGCAAAGAGGACAAACCGTGCAAACATAGCAAATATCGCATACAGAGCAAACTAGTACGGGAATATAATATTCCGCCCCGACCCCGGAAAATTGAATTTGCCAGCGCGAGTTTTTGGGGAGAGGCGGAAGGGAAAGCAGCTGTCGGGATGATTTAGCCAGTTCATTTCTTTCTCTCTCTTTTCCTTCTCTCTTCCTTCGTTTTTCTTTTTTTTTTTTTTTTTTGGGACGTGGATACTCGTTCATTCAGAGAGAGTGTCGCGTCGCCTGCGGTGCTCTTTGTTCGCTTGTTCTACCAAGGAAAGCTTACATCTTACCTCTTCCTATGCGATGATCTCTCAACGCTCAGCTCGCAGCGGCTTTGCTGCTGCCTCCACCTGCCGGACGAATGTCACGATGCTTATATTTCCCGTACCACTCCGTCAGAGAGCCATTTGTCATGGGGTCGCTCATTTTTCATCTTCCTCCGCGGCCAGAAAACCAGTCTCACCTTCCGACAAATCATCACAAGTTCAGCCTGTCTCCCACTCCGCCTCGTCCTCAACGTCTACCTCCGTACACCCCCACCTACCGTCCGCCTTAAACCCACCGCAAAGCACACGGCCTGCACAGCTTGAACTTCCCGAAAAATCAGCGAATTCCAGTGGAATGTTCAAGTATTACATATCTTTGGGAAAGGCATACTACGCGTTTTACAAGACTGGTTTGAAGAACGTATATCACAACTATCGCGTCGCCGCGCCGATTCGCAAGAGGCTGGGGTTTTCAGGGTACTTACCTACTTCTCTGCCTCCGCGCTCTCTATCCGGAACCGCGGCCTTTGAGCAGCTTGTCAGGAAAGAGGGTGTAACGCGAGCAGAGTTTCAGCTACTAAGACGAAGCGCCTATGACATTAGGAGGATGATACCTTTTGTTTTAATTTTGATAGTCTGCGGAGAATTCACGCCATTGATCGTGCTGGCGTTGGGATCACGGGTCACACCCCTGACTTGCAGGATTCCCAAACAGCTTGAGAAAGAAAGGCGGCTAAAATTGGATCGGAAGAGCGCTGCGCTTCGTGCGGCTGTTACTTCGTTCGAAAAGGAATGGCTTAACGCAACTACATTGCCGAAATCCATACCTTCGGCCGTCCGGCATGCGTCCGCGAACGACATCCTGAGCTCTTGTGCCGTGCTCGGCTTGTCCAAGTCGCACCGTCTGCCAGCTTATATACCAGGGTTTATGCAGGCTACATTTGTGAATTTGGTGTATCGGCCGAAGTTGAGGAGATGGTTAGAGTACTTATCCGTCGATGATTCGTTGATGAGGGAAGCTGGAGGTGCGGCAGGTTTAACTGCAGATGAAGTGAGAATTGCAGTGGAGGAGAGAGGCGGAGTGGATGTTGGAGCCGATCGGATTAGGGATGAGGAGAAAGTAAAGATAATGCGCAGATGGCTGGGGCGATGGATAGAAGATGGTGGGAAGGCCTAAGGCTGGGATTAAATAATTCGAGACAACCCATTTCGCTTCTCTTGGGACCTGCATGTTTCTCGACCGCTTAAAGAGGACCTTGGGACATTTCCCGGATGCACCTTTTATTTCATAGAATCTGTATTAGTATCATGGCTGTTGGGTCTATCGGGAGCTTGCACGACTCATGAGGTACTATTTGGGAGAAGAGAATACACTGGATACCCATTTAAATCATAGAATGCTCTGATATTTTTAATTTGACAGCTTAGGGGAGCGATGAAGTTCCGAGAAACCACGACGCCATCGCGGCATAAGATATCCGTGCCTTTCCCATCAACTCCCGGCTCCAAGGATGACTTTATCCCTTATCCTCTCAAGCCGCTCGTAATCTCCTCCCAAGGCAAACTGCAACATGCTCACAGCTTTCTTATCGTCACTATCTCTTATTGCTTTGGCAGTTATCAACTCCACGCTTGGCTCCCTATTTACCTCCTCGCTGGCTATTTCATCAAGACTGTCGTTCCACTCGCGATCCCACGCTTTCACAGCTGCCCGCAAGTCAGCATAGACGTCCCCAAAAACCTCCTGAATTTCGAACGTCCGAAAAGCCTCCATCCCAAGATCATTCATATAGTTTGCCGGATCCTGCAGACACAGTATATGGTACGCCAGCTTGGCCGATCTTTTCCCGATGCTTATCTGTCCACGGATGTACGGGGCTTCCGATTCAACCAGTTTAGAGGATTCACGAAGATGCCTGCATTTGCGGAATATAGATGGCGGATCTACGGATATTCCATACCGGTGGAAGTCAACTGTGGAGTAGAAGCGGAGGACGTGAAGCAGTTGTTCCGCGGTACTTGTGCGAGAATATTTGCCTTCTGAAAGTTTGAGGGCAGCGATTATCATCATGGTGAGGCCATAGGTGCTTATGCCTCTGTTCTGGGGCCCGAATAAGTTTCGCTGTTCGAGGATCATTCGGATGGTTGCCAGGAGCGGACGGAGAGTGGGAAATTCGGAGTAGTAGGACTGGGTGAATTCAAGTGAAGTAGGGAGCTGAGTGCCACAATGGATGGTCACAGGAAGTCCTGTGGCTGCGTGAGTTGCGATGACTTTTGGGATGCGTGAACGAACTAGGACGACGGATGAAAACTTCGCGGCTCCCCGTAGGAGGCGAGATATCTGCTCTTGCCGCTCAAGTTGAAGTTCTGCGATCTTGGGACGGGTAGGGCTTGGCCCACGATATTTGAAGAGACCGTCTGGATCTGAAAGCATGACCAGAAGGTCGATATTCGAGTGGCGCATCGCTAGCCCTGTCCGCCTAGAACCTATCACAAGTGGTTGCGGGTGGTCTTCCTGTAGAAGAATCTCTTCCACTTCGGTAATAACTTTGTTTACAGCTGCTTGTTCTTGCGGGATATGAGACATGTAGTTTTCAAAAGCGTTTATCTCGTCATCCAGACGTGACAGCCCATCATCCTTGGACGATTCTAGGTAGTCTAACCAGGGATATTGAGCGTCGCTGCTGGACCATTCTTTCCTCGATACTCTGGCAGAACTCTTCTTCATAAGCTTCCGGAATAGTGAAATGGCCGCGTGTGGTCGGATATCTGGCCTCAGTTTCTTCGATGAGGGATGTAGCAATTCTAGGCCCAATTCGGAAGACTCCTGAACCGAACGCTCGGTCGCGGGGAGGCTCTGTCTTGGTCGTGGTACTCTCCGTACCGACGGGGCTGGTCCTATCGCAACTGCATTGCGGTCGCCTGTAGGTTTACAGGGGATCCACCGGATCAACCTTTGCCTATTCGCATAGCGATGGGCCTCGAGGGTCTCTGTGAGGTTGCCTGCGACGATTGGCAGATCACCCAGGCGACCACGTGTCGGAGAAGCATGGAATCGCCTATTGTGGTGGAAAACGGGCCTTGCAGATTGGGCAAGAGACGAGTGGTAGAAGCATTCCGCCTGAAGCAGATGGTGGGGAACGATTGGCCGGAGGGAGGACATTCAGCTAAGAACCGTTCAATCTGACGGCCGTGACACTCGAAGGCAATGAATCCAGCTTCGCATTCCTCTTCGCTGGATTGCGGGAAGACTTTGGATGCAGCTCTTTTTTGGTGGCTCAGAGAGAGAGAGGATTAGTCATCCACACTCTCGGGCTGATCAGTCAATTGGTTATTTGTACTGAGCTGGGGTTGAACGTTAAGCTGTGCAAATCGTGGAATAACTGCCAAAACCGACCGACCAAGCACGGTATTTTACACGAATCGGAGAATATCTCAAGAATTAATCCGTTCTCTAAAGAAGAGGATAAAAGAATAAGTTCACCGCTTTTATAAACTACATCTTTTAGATATCAACCCGCATGGATCTCGTATCCTCTGCCCATATTCCATGCCTGTTGGACACAAGCTTCAAAAATGAAGACTTGGATTGAAGAAAATTTAGGATGCCATGAATGTGCTTCATATTTCGTCAAAGCAATTTTTTTATTTATTTATTTATTATTTTATTTTTTTATTTTGGGGACCCTAGCCATGTTCTTGCAAGCGTTTCTGGTGATGATATCATCGCGATTGGTGGCTGATGTCCTCAAGGAAGAGACGGCTCAGGTGAGATTTTGTATTAGAAAAGCGCCAAATATTGTCTACCAGCTGTGAGAATGAGATGCCAAATCCAGACGTCCAAACATCTGCAAAGAGTTATTTAGTTGAAAAAGCGCCTCAAGCGGAAGTAGGGTCACAGGCCTGGACGACAATTTGGAACGTTGACTGTGCACTGGAAGCACTTAAAAGGACTCCGGCCACCATAACGATATTCGCAGGACTGAGGGCATTTTATTGGATTCATAGAATCTAATACTATCTAAGGGGCTGAGCCGGGTATCATCAACCCGTATAATTAGCCCGTTGGAAGGTCCATCGGACTGTCTGCTGTTCTGACTTGGGAGTAAGACCAAGGCCAAAACCATGGTAGGGATATCCATCCAAGGTGCGAGGGCGTAGGCCGAGACTCCTGTTCAAAATAGAATACAGAGTTAATGCGAAGAAGAGAATGTAGTGTAACCACCGAGTCGTGAATGTTAAATGAAAGGTAAACCAGATGCTTGATTTGCTGGGAGGATGAGCCGCAAGAGCAGAAGCCCAACCTGGGGCTGTGATCGAATTGGTTATATATTGCTTGGGTTAAACTAACTAGTTAGTTCACTCAGTAACTGGTTGAATATTCTCCGAGATTCTGTGACGTCGATCTTGGGAGGGCTGGGCCAGGGTCGTCAATCGGGTTGCTATCCTATCTCCTCTCCATGGAGGATAAGAACCGGTCAACCTCCTGTCTCTCCTGTCCCATCTACATGAGCAGTTTAGAGATTGAGAGGATTGTCCTTGGATGTCTGCAAACAACAAAGTTAAGTAGGGCTGTCTTAGATCCTTGATCCGCCCCAAAAAGCCTCCCTTCCCAGCCAAGAAAGACGTGCTCTCCCAACTCCCACTCTGCTGCTTTGTGCCCCGCAGTGCATCGCACGACCACGGAGTTCAGTCCCTCCTGGCTCCAGTCTCGCCTTGCTTCTCTCTCGGCTCTCGCCGCAGCGCCGCCGCCGCCCGCTTTCCTGGCCCCGTGCCCAGGTAATTAGGTTCGTGATCTCATCCATTTTTTTTTTTTTTACTCAAGCCCCCACGTCACTCTGATGACGAAATGACTTCACTTCGGGCGGGCTGACAATTGATTTCTCTTGCTGTAGATTCGCCAGCCGTCAGCGAACCGTTCTTTATACCCGTCCTATATCCCTCAGGCCCCCTGCACATGGCACATTCATCAGCCGAATCGCCACCAATGCTGTCGAATTCAACGATTCTTCCTACCAGAAGCCAGACGAGCGATGGTGTGTGCTTTGGGGAGCAGATGAATTCCTCCTCGAGACCTGCAGACACCAAAGGCCACGAGCCCTCTAATTCGGCAGCGGCCATGTCAGGCGCAGAACATGGAACGTTAGGCACATCGCCGGGCACTCCTTCCGAGGCAGCAAAGGGCGCAAAGTCGGGGATCGAGCTTTTACGTCGTCTGAGTTTGATGGAGGGAAGACCAACGCTGTCGGCTATGGCGAGACCTGAAGAGCATGCGGATCTCCGTTTGACGGGACGGATTATCAGCGCTTCGTTCTGCATCCCTTATAAGCTCCGCTTTCGGTCCGGTTTGAATTGGGTAAGACTTCAGAGTCTGGGCTTTCGTTCACACTAGACCAGATGCTGATCACTGCTGCAGGAACTGCATCACCGGCCTGGGACCTCAGCTCTGTTCGATTCCTTCCAGTATCTCGCCTCATCGGAAAATCCGTGGTCTCACACCCTGGTTGGGTGGACTGGAGAAGTGGAAAATTCCACTCTACAAGACTCATATTTTCAAAGCAGGCCACATACAGGCTCTGGTCTCGAGTCGCTATCACTGGAAACTCCTATGACCTCCCTAAGCAAGGCTTCCGCCCCCATTCCTGTCGATGGCAGCCATAAGCCCCAACCTCCGGCAGATGGAATTCACGTCAGAAAAGAAGACCGAGATCGCCTCGAAAAGCAATTACACTCGAGTAAATATGGCATGATCCTTCCAGTTTGGCTCAGCGATGACTGCGAGTCGCCTGAAGAGACCCTGCATCTCAAGGACCAAACCCGCTGGCGCCGATACGCTGAGCGTGAAATCTATCCCTTGTTTCACTACAAGCAGCACGGCCCGACGGATGGGCGTGCTGAACGACGCTGGTGGCAGGACTATCAACGCATGAATCAACTCTTTGCGGACCGAATTTTGGAGATCTATCGTCCAGGAGATATTGTCTGGATCCACGACTACCATTTGTTCTTGTTGCCCAGTATGTTGAGGCAGCGGATACCGGAGATTTACATTGGCTTTTTCTTGCATGTTCCGTTCCCTAGCAGTGAATTTTTCCGCTGTCTGACCCGAAGAAAGGAGGTTCTTACCGGTGTTTTAGGGTCCAACATGATTGGTTTTCAGTCATTTACATATTCTCGCCATTTCTCCTCTTGTTGTACACGCATATTGAGATTCGACTCAAATTCTGCAGGAATCGATGCGTACGGTGCCCATGTCGCCGTGGACGTCTTCCCGATTGGCATTGATGTGGACGCAGTCCGGAAGATGGCATATGGGGAACCCAACATCGAAAAAACTATTGCTGAGATCAAGAAGCTCTATGCTGGAAAGAAGATCATCATCGGTCGAGATCGCCTTGATTCGGCTCGTGGAGTGACCCAGAAGCTCATAGCCTTTGAAATGTTCTTGGAGCGATATCCGGAATGGCGTGATAAGGTCGTCCTGATACAAGTCACGAGCCCAACTAGTGTGGAAGAAGAAAAGGAGGAATCAGAAGCCAAACTATCAAGTCAGATGTCGCACCTTGTATCAACCATTAATGGCAGATACGGATCGCTCAGCTTTTCTCCTGTTCAACATTATCCTCAGTATCTCTCTCGTCATGAATACTTTGCGCTTCTTCGTGCAGCCGACGTGGGTCTTATCACCAGTGTCCGTGATGGCATGAACACCACCAGCTTGGAATACGTTGTCTGTCAGCACGAGAATCATGGACCACTTATACTATCGGAATTCTCTGGTACTGCTGGAAGCTTACACAATGCAATCCACATCAATCCTTGGGATTCGGGTGGAGTCGCTGCGGCTATAAATGAGGCACTTACTATGAGTTACGAACAACGTGAGGAGCAGCATGAAGCACTGTATAAATATGTAACAACACACACAGTTTCAATATGGTCAGATTTATATATTGGTCGGCTGTTGAACAACCTATCGTCCTTCAATCAATCAATCGCGACGCCGGTGCTGGACAAAGCAAAATTGCTATATCAATATCGCAAGGCCCGAAGACGTTTATTCATGTTTGATTATGACGGCACATTAACACCTATTGTGAAAGACCCGCAAGCTGCCATTCCTTCAGACCGCGTTGTTAGAACCCTCAAATCGCTCGCAGCAGATCCCAAGAATTCTGTTTGGATCATCAGCGGGCGTGACCAGAACTTCCTTGAGGAATGGATGGGCCACATCTCGGAATTAGGATTAAGCGCAGAGCACGGATGCTTCATTCGTAAACCGCACAATGAGGTCTGGGAAAATCTTACGGAGAAATCTAATATGGGTTGGCAAAAAGAAGTCCTTGATATCTTCCAGCATTATACGGAACGAACACAGGGCTCTTTCATCGAGCGAAAACGTGTTGCATTGACTTGGCATTATCGACGTGTTGACCCTGAATACGGAGCGTATCAGGCCAAGGAGTGCAGAAAGCATTTGGAAAATACTGTGGCAAGGAAATGGGACGTCGAGATTATGGCAGGTAAAGCGAATTTGGAGGTTAGGCCGACATTTGTTAATAAGGGCGAGATTGCGTCGAGGCTTGTGAACGAATGTCAAGGGCGTCCAGAATTCGTTTTATGTCTTGGTGATGACTTCACTGATGAAGGTGCGCTCACCCTCTTGGTCTTTTTAGGAATATTTTACCTACTTCCCGAACACTAACGAGCTTATGATTGTATAGATATGTTCCGCGCTCTACGGCATTCAAATCTTCCGAAAGACCGAGTTTTCGCTGTCACAGTTGGCGCGAGCTCAAAGCAAACTGAAGCAAGTTGGCATCTGCTCGAGCCGGCGGATGTCATTGCAACTATCAGTCTTCTGAATAGTTGCAACTGATGATGAGCCAACATGACAAGCAGTCTCTTTCCTATTCGTTTCAAAGACTATGCAAACATGGCGTTACTTGATTTGAATACAACGACATAAAATAAGGGAGGGCCACTGTTTAGTTTTGAATAGTTATCCCTTTTCCTGTTTATGCAAGCATTATAGTTCTTCCTTCTATGTTCATTGAACTTATTGAAAAGGTTGCCCTGGTTCTTGTTTTCTTCTGCGCTGACATAGTAGATTAACGCATATATACTTATACATATATTAACCTGAAATTCTGGCTGGAAAGAGAGCGATGGCGAAGCAAGAAGAGCTCTTTTTTTTTTTTTTTTTTTTTTTTTTTTTTTTGATTTCATGCCCCTTTGGGCTAGTGTTGTTTTCCTGTTTCTCGTTCTCTATGTTTAATCTAGAGAAATTTCCTGGTGATAAAATACAAGAGCAATGCTTACTCAAGTTTGAAACAACCTTTTGCTTCTTCTGTATGATATGTATATCATGATTCACTACCTTTAAGGGTAAAGACATGATACCCTTGCAGTTGTCCCCCATAGCCTTTCCTGCTTGTGAGCAACTGCAACAAATTCTCCAAAATCCGCCTAGACGTGTTACTTCCACAGCAGTATGCGAGGCGCTCAGTCCTCAGACCATGATATCCAGCCATCTACTGCGTAAGCACTCCACTTACATCATTCACAGAACAACCCCGACCCAACCTCAACTCCAAAAACACCGTCCCCTCCACGGGACAGTTGCACTCATAGTACGCGTCGATCTCTTCAAAACCTAGGCTCTTATAGAGCGCAATAGCGCTATGCATGGTCGGCAGCGTGTCCAGACGCATCTCAGCGTACCCTTTCTCCCGGGCCGTGTCGATAACTGCGTTGATAAGCGCCTTGCCGATACCCAGACCGCGGGCGCGCGGGAGGATATAAAGCCGTTTGATCTCGCAGACGCGCAAGGGGTTTATAGACGGCAAACTGCGAAGAGCTGCGCACCCGAGGACGTCGGATTCGACGTATGTACAGCTGCAGCAGTAGTTCTTGCGGGGAGATACGCTGCCCCCATGGTTTTCCTCTGCATGGACAGGCTCGTAGAAGTTGTCGCTGGCGGAGTTGTTTTGGATGGCGAGCAAAATCTCGCCACCCTTTTCCGGGGCGTATTTTCCCGGCATCTGACTGATTTCCGTGCTGAAGTCCTGATAGCTGAGGTCGATGCCTAGTGAATCGGTGTAGGACTTGATCAGGGAGGTTGCGGTCGCGATGTCCCGCGGGGAGCGTGCCGGGTGAATGTGAAATGATGGGGCTTGCGACAATGCATTTCCACCCAGGAAAGGGTGCTGGTCGTCGGGCTGGGACATCTTGCCTTCAGAGAGTGCAGCTTAGCTAGGGAGAGGAGAAAAGAAACACAGGCGGGTTCCTCCTACTAGATAGTCTAGTAGCAAAGAGAACCTGGCTCAGTGAGGTCGGGGGTAGAGATATGGGCTCTGAACATGTCCTCGTATCGTAGAGAAGGAACCATGTCTCTCACATGTTGAAGGCTGAGATTCGTATACTCGGGAGGCACTTGACTTCTCAACCATTTGTTGGAGATATCTGAGGTCATTTACCATAAATTGGAGCGGTTAAGCCGGCATGACAAGCATAGGGCGTGGAAGATTCCGCAACTACCAAAAAAAAAAAAAAAAAAAAAAAAAAAGGAAAAGGAAAAAAAAGGAAAAAAAGAAAGGGAGATCATAACCACCCGATCATTGAAAAAAACAAGGGTAAAAGGAGAGAGACGCACACAAAAACTAAAAACTAAAAAAAGGAAGTTTGGCTGCTTGCCTCCGACCAGGTTCGAACTGGTGGCCTCCGGATTTCCAAGTAGTTGTGGCTACTCGTCATATGTGTTAATATGAGACCGGCGTCATGACCAACTAGACCACGGGGGCTTGCTTGGGGTGTGGCGTTACCTTTGGCTCTATCAGCCACATTCGATTCCCCCCCACCGACGACCAAAAAGGAACGGAAGTCTTACAAATCGCGCGAGACACGCAAAGCTGCCGGCTGCAGAGGCGCATTTCATGTTATTTATACAGAAAAGAACACGATGGCATTACTCCATACAGTGACGGCAATACCGAGATACTTAAAAAGACAGATAGCAACAATTATACCCAGTCCCACTAAACAGACTTCTCTCAGACAACTCTCGAGATATCAGATCCCCCGATGTAGACATCATCGTCGTCGTAAACGGAGTGGAAAGAACGTAATTCTCAAGGCCGGAGTATTGCAAGAGGGTGAAAATAATAGATAAAACAGCCAAAAAGCACGCCGGTGTTGGGTGAAAATTTAATTTCCAACTCCCTCACAAGTCATTTATCCACCCCCAAGGCCCGGTCGCTGTAGAGTGGAGGAGGAGCAGGTAGTTTAAAAAAGGAACAAAGCCTCGGTTGTAAGACACAATAAGTCATGGTTTTCCCATCGAACTCCCTCAGAACAAAACTCACAAAGAATGAAGGAAAAAGGATAGATAGGATAATAACATATGCGGAGGCATAGATTTGTGTTGTCATTCTGGAAGATATGAAACTCGAAGGTTGTATGGACCAGTTATGTTATGGATTACATACCATTTAAGCACAGCAATTCAAGACCTCGAGCTTATTTCTGTTCATGCTTTTGGGTTCCAACGGGGAACTCTTGGTCGCTGGCATCCAGGATATCGTACTCTTCATCGGTAAGGAAGCCGTCAGTGTCTGCATCGTCCATAGTCAAGCTTTCAACATCGTCGGCAAGGTCATGCTCGTCCTCCCTGCCATCCCAGCATGTCGCCGATGACGTCGTCTTTGTATCACTGATGCTCATCTCAGGAGACTCCCGCTCCAGCTTCGGGAACACCATGTCACTGGCTGCAAGGGGTTCCTCAGCCTTGTCTTCAAAGCCCGTCGCATCTTCACAATGAGCTGACTCCGTACCCGATCCATTCTCTGGCTTGTCGGACTCTTCAATAGTAATGTATTTGCTTCCGCTCACAACAGCGACATCACACCATAATCGATCACCGAAAGGAGCTCCATCGGGAGTTTTAAGACGCCAGTATGAAATAGCTCGACCCTCGCGGAGAGGAGTCTTCAAAGTCAACCTGAAATCAGCAGAATCGCCCGGAGCAACCGGTTTGGTAATTTTATTGCTTTCCATTGCCGAAATAAGCTCGCTCGTACTAGTTGGGTGATCAGAATCAATGTTGAACATTGTATCACCACCAGCAAATCGAACACTGCAGCCCTGGGGCCATGGAGCTGCGCCGCTGTTCTGGAGGGTCCAGGTTTTAGTAAAAACGGTGTCACGAGGTAATTCAAATCCATCCGGATAAGTATCTCGCATGAACTGTGCTTGCAATTGTCCTGACGAAGCTAAGTCGCCCGGAGAAGACACCTTCTCTCCCTTCAAGGTAGGGAGGGGCGGTGATGGTGGACGTGGTGCAGGAAGGTCACTGGTCTTTTGTACTTGGGTTGCAGCGTGAGAAACACCCACGGCCATAGGTTCGGTGAACGAAGTCTTCGTATTAGGGCGGTCACCCATTCTCTGCAACGGCTGCCCTCTGTCGTTCTCACCCATAGTACTGATGGAGACATGGCGAACAGCTGTTTTGAACTTTAGTAGGGGGTGAGTGCGGTTGTGAGTATTGTCAGGGTGGGCCTCGCAGCGAGAGCAGAAATCGGTGTCATGGCAAATGGCACATTTGTAGCGGTCGCCAGTGATATATAGATTGTCTCCTTTCCCTTGGCAGAGTGGGCCGTCACAATAGACGCCGTGGTGGACTTCATACGAGTCAATTGCAGCTGGAATCGGCTCATAGAGCGGAACAAACCGGTGACCTGGGTGGGTCGCCGGAGCAGCATGGACACATTCGCCACAAAAGTCGAAGTCAGGGCAGTCAAGACACTTGTGGCGTACACCACGGATTCGCTAGTGAACATCAGTATCGCTGTGCGCCATAATTATTGTGAAGGATGGGGGTTATCAACCTTATCGCACCCATCGCACAGGGCCATGTGGCGTACTCCACGACCTGGGTCACAGAGGTGTCCAACAGTATCCTTGACGCTTGAGGTCCCAACGTCGTGAGTAAAGAAGAAAGAGTGACCAGGATGGTGGCCATGGACATCGTTGATGATGCAGCTGAAACAAAGATCATAGTCATGGCAGTCAAAGCAGGTCACGAGCTGCGCTTCCTCGAAGTCTACGGAAATGTTAGCCAGTACAGCCTCGCCATTATTTGAGACCCGATCCTACCTTGGAAGCAAGAATTGCATGTACGCATCTCAACCGTGGGTTCCGGTTCGGGGGCATCGGGAGCTTCGAGTTCAGCTTCCTCCTCGACAGTCGCGAGCCCAGGTTCCTCGACCTCTTCGGCGAATTCTTTTGTCACCTGTTCTTGGGATTTGGGGGCAATGGTCTCTGTAGTGCTATTCACGACCAATCCATCAATCACAGAGCGCTTAATGAGCCAGTGATCCTCACCCGGACAGAGAAGTCCGGAGTCAATACAGCGTTGGCACAGGTCATAGTCACCATCTTCGCAAATACTGCAGTGCCAATGAGCATTGGGGATAGAGTTTCCACAGTGGTTACAGTCAATATAAAAGGTCGCGGCGACGTTAGTCCTGTTATTGAAGTGTAGCCTGCCTTCCCTATCCGTTTTCCATGCATCCTCTGGTTCACGTGTTGGCTTTTCAATATCTTCTGCAGCTTTAGTCGCCGGGGTATGGTTACGTTCCTTGAATGAGGCGCCATGATCACTGTCTGTGATCGGCAGGGGATCATTCAGAACAGTGTTCAGGTAGCTGCCGCGAGCAGAGTGAACTGTTGAAGAGATCGTACTCTCGTTGGCGTGCGCTGGTTGTAATTCTGGCTCTGACACACATTCGGGCTTTTGTTTGCTTTCGGTAATCTTTATCCTGAGCTTGGTTTTGGCTTTGGCAGCCCGGTAGAGTTGCTTGTAGATAGCGGTATCACTGCTATTCAGAGTCACCCATCTCGCAGCACTGTCTGAATAGCGCTCGATGACGATGTTAGAATCGACGGAAAGTGAAAGGACTTCTCGGATCTGTTAAAAGGAGAAGGCACTACGAGTTAGCGGAAGCGACGTAGGAACATGGAGTACGAGGGATTTGAGAGAAGCGACAGAGAGGTTCCACGACAGCGAGCAAGTGTGGGTCACAAGGAAGACAAGGGATGATCACCTTTCGGGGAAATGTGTAGGCTTCGAGGTCCTTCAAGGGAAGCTTAAAGCGTCGATTGGTACCTTCGTAGTTGGCCTTGATGGCGATGAGGGTGTCGGGCCCCACTGATCTATTCATGATTCAAGACTGATATCAAGATTCCTAACAAAGCTGAAATATCTTTGAGAGAAGGACAAGGCTGACGATAAAACGGAAGCCTGGAGCAGAAGGGCTTCAGAGGGACCGAGTCCTAGCTGAGCATCTGTCGAAAGATGAGGCAGACTGCTGAGGAAGAATGTTATCTTGATAAATCAAATGAATTCGGGGGTGCTTCGATGGAGGATGGAGTGGAGGTTCGATGGATGCAGTAAAGGGTGCGAGATGGGGTTGATGGAGAATGGAGCGGAAGGCGAGGAAGGGAAGAAGAGGTGAAGCTCTGCCGGGGGAAGATGGAACTTGAGGGGGGTCGGAATCATGCAAAGTTCAGCGGAATGAGCCAACCAGCGACGAGGGTTCCGGCTGTTTTGTATGGAAATCAGTGTTACGTCCTGCACTCGTTGCCTGCCAATTCGAGGCTGGTACAGTAACTTACATGGTGATGCAGGATGATGACACCGGCCGGCTGCCTGGGCCCGGTACGGCGCTAGGCGAGAACAGGCATAGTGGCGATGTTTGAGGCCACCGGAATGCGGAGATGCTGCCAGAGTGATGATATCAGTGGCCGTCACATGACAGGAGGCGGTAAGCATGTTACGGGTTGGTCTGTTTGTTACTGGACGCGGTGAGCTAATTCCCCTGCGTTCACCAACTTCACCCATGGAGCATGGAGTAGGCAAGTTACTCTGGAGTTACTGGGGAATCTAGGTAGTTACTCTTGGTGTGATTTGCACAATGCTGGAGGAACATAACTCACATTCTCAAGAACTTGCTCTGGAGAGGCGGAAAAGGAGCCCCGATCAAGGAAGAGTCGCTGCGGAATACCGCTGGTGGATGATGGCTTGGGTAGATAAACTGGTGCCAGACTCTGGCCTGGCGAATATCGCCAGTTTCATAGGAGATGTTCGTTGTGGTGGGTCCAAGATAAGGAGGCGTATGCGAGCGGCATCGCAGTAGGGGCATTTCGAGAGCTATTCCATCAGAGCCATTGAGGTTGCCTGTTTCCGTGACACGACCTAAAGTCCTTGATATCTTGACCGCTACTATTTCCAAGTCTCCCGTCTGGCATCCAATGCCTTTTGTGACCCCTCTTTGGGTACAGCAGCCTTTACGAGCTACCTCACACTCGCACTGCTACCGAACTCCATGAGGGCTGCGTTTGGACATGGAGGGCTCGTTGAGCTGGTGCTGATCCGTGCGATCCGCAAATCCCCATCCACTCCTGTGTGTGCACTTCTCATTACTCCTTGAAAGGCCCTTCTCGCATCTGTTTCTTTCCAATCATCTCCTTCCCTGTGTCTAATGCCTTCCATTATCCTGTGTCTGCTGCTCTTATAACCTCCCACATATAATTGCTGGTAAATTTCATCCAGAGTGAATCCTGCCCTGCAATGCATACTGTATGTGCAAAAAGTAACCCACCACAAAATACATATCATGACTCCCACAGATGTGAATGCAAATACAGCAGCCATGGGAAAGCGGCAGTGGCTCAGTGTCCCGAGGATACTGACGTGGCTGATTCCGGCTACTATGCAACCACCGAAGACATGGGGGTAGATCTTAGCTGCTGAAGAAGCTGTTAAATACAAAAAGGAGAGCACTTTGCACATTTTCTATCTTATCCCTACCTGGGAAAAGGGGGTGCTCAATCAAGATTATTGGATAGAGTATAAAACTCGGCAACGATGAATTCTCCACTGTCTGGATGGCCCGTGGTATGCAGTACAACAGAGATATATGTCTGCTACTAAGCAGCTGCTGGAGCCTCCGGAAAATCTTCAAAATGCTGGAATTGGAATCCATGGTGAGTATTCCCCACTAGTTTCTACTCGCTTCGGTGCATCCATCTACCAACATGCCCAACGGATTTAAATGAGAAGAACTGTACTCCATAGTTATTGTTCCTCTCGATGACCTTGACTGGCCTACTAGGTATGAAGCGCTTGGCTGGCCACTAAACCAACAAATCATCCCATTCGCGAAGCCTAGAGATAGGGAGAGATTGTGATGCCTATAGAGATCCCTAAAATACATATAGAGATATCGTACCTTAGTGCCTTTTGGTCTAGCGGTGAAACCAGGCGCTCCAGTGACTCAAAAGTGACTTCCACCACTTTCATATACCTTTCCAGATAGACTCCATAGTGCACCCCCCAGCCACAGCTTGTGACATGTAGAGCTATATATGTATATTTATGGAGCTCGACATATATGCATGGACCATTTTAACTGTGTATGGAAGTGCGGGTTACTAGGCTACCAAGTTCTATCGTTCCACGTTTAGACCCACAGCCTGAGCAATGTAAGTATCAATAGTTAACACTGAGAAAAGCTTCGATTCACAGCATGGCCAAAACAACACGCCTGGCCTTAAGCTTGATCTTGCAACTTTTGTTAAATGCACATGCCCTGAAATTGAACCTGCCGTTACCCTAGCAAACATCTAACCACAACAGAGCTTCTGCAAGAACCCTCATTCAACACCATCATCAACAAATATGGTTACAATGAGTCGACTCTGATTGCCTTGGCATTTGGGAATGACTGCTAAGCCCGGTAATGAATACAATTATAGGGGGTGTTGGTTAAACCCAGATTATAATTAGCACTGCAGAATAATCTGGTTATTCCAGCGATTCTTCCAATAACTTTGCCGCAGAATATCTTGATATCTGACAAGGTCACCAGATACTCTGTTTATCCCAAAGGTATAAGACTTGTGAATTAGAGGTGGTCCAAAAGGACCCTTCCTGTCCACTGACAATTCGTTAGTGAGCTCGCGGCTTCCTCTCGTGCACAGCACCCCAGAAAACTGCAGCAATGCACCGTGAAGATCGAGAGTGATTCCACTGTTCGCAAATATGGGAGCCATGTTGGAATTCAAATGGAAGCGGAAACATTGACATTTGTTTGAAAACACACTTCTATTCCAGTTCCAGAGATTCGCAAGAGCAATGCTTCGGGAACGAATCGAACGATCACCTGGATTTTATTGATGCGCGCTCCTGGTCGTCGTCTTGATATCTGCTGGCCGAAGATGGCTGACAAAGCCCAAGCTGAGACAATTTGCTCAGTTGCAGTAACTTACCATTCGCCCCATTATAATTTGCACTCACCAGATCCTGGCTAGATTGGATCTTGTTCTGGAAGTTTTGCTTGAGATCACGCTACCGTGTGGACCATTTGATTCTATTTCTTCTCTCCATAGCTTTCATTGTTGCGCCGGCTCAGCACTGTCCAAAACTACAATTTTCAGCAACGTTTCACAAATTGCTCCCTGATAACTGTCACATTGATTTTGCCCATGCCAACTGATCATAAGAAAATATTCTGGTGGATGAATTTATCGGCCATGTTATTGCCATGGGAAATAGCTGGATTTTGGCTGGAGTGGTGGAAGTATAGAAAAGCTTTATTTGGCGGCCGTTGCTAGAAGTAGTGGGTAGAAATTATTGATTGTCTCGCCCCGTTATGAGGAGTTTGAGGCAGATAGAAGTTTGAATGCTTTTCATGGTTCAAAAGCTGTCCGGGGAGGGGGATAATTGATGGCTGAATTATGTGTTATGTTGTTTCTCTTCAAAAACGAAAAGAAACTTGGGAAGAGGCGTTATTAAGTATTAGGCATAAGAAAAGTGGTCATGAGCCATTTCATTTGCTTTTGACATAGGCGATTTTTTTTTTTTTCTAGAATTTTTGGGAGTTGATACAAATAGACAACCCGATAAAAAAGGAAAAAATGAAAAAGAGAAAGAGAAAAGAAAAAGAAAATGGTAGTGAAAGGCCACAAAACAAAGAAAAAATAGAAGGGGGAAAAAAGGACCAACCTTATATCCGATAAAAGCGAAAGGCCGAAGAAACGAAAACGGAGGAGAGTGCGGTGCTTAACATGGGGCACCTAAGGGGAGCAGATTTTTTTAAAAAAAAAGGAAGTACCACGGAAAAGTTGCTGCTTTGAACAGAAGAACACAGGGATAACCGCTGGGTGGTCAGTCAAAGGTCAATCTTGGGATCGCTAGAGATATGACAAAAAAAGAAATGTGTCCATGCTTTTGAACAAAACATTGGGCAGTCGCTGAATGGAGACAGCAAAAATATTCGAATAAATACGGCATAACTGATGCTATCATTATAAAGATTTCACAAACCAAAAATAAGGAAGAATGGAAAAAGGGGGGAAAAAAAAGGTTCACAAGCATATGAAATTCAGAAGGGGGAATTTGCTGCAATATCGAAAGAAGAGGTCGCCAGTATGCATGAAACTTAAAAGAATCTAGCTAGGAAAAATCGAGCCATAATCACGAAACATCAAAAGGGACGCCGGCTATCATGTAATCCCGGAGACATTGGAATGATATAAAAATAGGGATAGGTTAAACAAGGTACTAATAACAAAGCACTTTGGGAGATATTATGTTTAGCGTTTCTTAGGAGTAGTACACTGTCCCATTTGGCTGTTGGGGATAGTAATAAGTCCCGGGGGGTGTAATCATGCCACCCATCCCGACAACTCCGCCTTGCGGCGCCACAGGGTAGGTAGCGTTGGGGTAATTCGGGTATTGAGATGCATCATAATAATAAACGGTGCCGTTTGATTCGTGCGCAACGGTTCCGGATTGGGTGAACTGCTCGGTCGTAGGTTGAGAAGGCATGCCATAAGGAGCCTGTTGACCAGCGGGAACAAACACGGGTGTTGGGCCCGGAGGTACCGGGGCACTGTACTGCGGATAATCTGGATTTGGACCCGGGTACACAACCGGTCCTGACGGGTAAGAAGCGGATGGGTAGTAGTTCTGGGGTTGCTGATAAGGGTATGGTTGGAAGGGAGGAGCATGGATCGCGCGCTCTGGGATTTGAGAGAGCGGTGTAGCTGAAGCCTGAGGAGGATGTGACACGTTACGAGTATGCGAAGAGTAGCCTGCTGTTTCAGGACCGTATGGAGGGCCATTGAGTGCCATGGGCACTTGATGGTGAAAAGGCTGTTCTAGCTGCTGAGGAGGGTTATATAGGCTCATAGGCGATTCGATGTCGGCTACAGAAACTGTCTTCTGTGGTCTAGGTTGGTGCATGGGTATAGTAGGGGTCGGGCGATTCTCTCGGAACTGAGGGTGCTGAGGAGTATAGGGCGATGGCTGAGCGAGGGGTTGCGGCACAGCTCCGGCAGCAGAGGCGACATTGGGAGGGGCTGGAGGAGGCGCCATTGGGCCGGCTGGCAGTGGTCCTCGTCCTACGGGCGGGAGGCGAACCACTGGCTTTCCAGCTTCTCCAGCCATGATGGGCGGGCGGGACATTACGGAGCCACCTGGCGAAATCATACCGTTGCGAGAAGCGACTCTGCCAACCGACGATCTGCGGCTCATCGGTAGACTCGGAGTATACACTGTTCCTCCATACAGGCTGCTTCTTCTGCTGCTGTAAAATCCACCGCGTCCACGACCACGATAAGCCTGTTGATTCGGGCGAAGAGCACGAGGGATGAATATGAATGATCGTTCTGTGGAAGGGAAGATGTAGCGTGGTGGTGCGCCGGGCAACGCAATTCTCACTGGTTTATCTCTGCGCAACGGTGGTCGATGCTGAGGAAGACGTGTATGCTGTTTCTTTGGAACAGCAGAGTAAGGAATCGGATTGGCCATGCCAGGTAAGAAAACAACGACAGGCACATTCCCAATCAAGACAGTACTTGAAAAGGAGCGATTGGGTGGCGTCGATCTAGGGGCGGTGGGAACTGGTTTTGAGCTCTGCCCAGAAGGCATATTTGAGGGAAGAGTGGAAGACGGTCGACTAGAGGCGGGAGGAGGTCCTTCGTTGACGGATTCATGTAGGTCGTGGGTCCAGGGGCCATCCGTAATGTCAGGCTTTGGCGGAGGACGCCTATATCGACGAAAAGAGACGTTATTAGGCAATTTGCAGAGACCAAGATGACTTATAGATATCCCAGACTTACCTTACGTTGCTGTCTACAATAAGGCCGTGGGGCTTGCTCTTCAGCTTGTTGTTGGCGGTGCGGTAACCATTTGGAGAGTTGCTGCTTCTTTTATCATGGAGGAAGAACCCGCCACGAGTTGGCACGAAGGCTGGATTTGCTCCCCTCTCCTTTCCATTTTCTGTCTGCTCTCTTCTCCTCCGTTGGGATTGAGGGAGCCGGGTGGCTTTATCACTTAGATCGGGGCTAGCATCATGTTCCGAAGCGTCAAAGTGTATCTCCGCGACCCCTGCAGTATCATCCGCCAGCTTCATACCATTTAGCATTGCTTCTGTCTCAGAAACCTTTGCTGCAAACGGAGTCTTGGTCGGGGACGAGCAATTTGCCTCTTTCTGGGTTCGACTTTCGACGCGTTCGTCTTTCCGAGATTCAGGTGAAGCAGGGAAGTCATTGTCGCTGAAGTCACTTCCTTCCCCTTCGGGATCTTCATCTTGATGACTGCTGGCCTCGCTCAACGAGTCGTCTTCGAAATCTCCGGCAACAGAACCATCCTCCTCTCCCTCATCCTCAATTCTACGACGGCTGGCCGGAAGACGGCGACGGTGGTGTGGAGCCATCTGTAAAATTCCCAATGATAAGTTAATAAGCTGGAATAGATAGCGACAGGGTCAAAAGGGACTTAGATGGTGTGCATAGATGGTATAAAGGGTAAGATTCCGGGTTTGACCAGTGAGGCTAAATAAGAGAGAGAGGCGGATGGATGAAGAGGCAACAGCTTGTGCAAGAAGACCAAGGATAGCTCCTCTCTATTCACTGCAAAACAAAGAAGAGCAATACAAGCCGAGACAGAGAATGAGACAAAAGGGAGAAAGATACCTTGTTCTACTCAACTCTCGCTCGCAAGGAGGAAGCCTCAGGAAATAGTGAAAAAAAGCCCTCCTCGTGGTCACGACAAGAGGCCGTTATCAGAAGCGACGCAAATCAACTTACCCATCCACAGTCGCGCTAGTCCACAGTGGGGTTAGCGCCAGGAGCACCCCGACTTCCATGCTCAAGGCTCAGTCAATCCCACTTCGGTCAACATGTCGCGGAGAGAAACACCGTGATCGCTGCATTTGTTGACGAGAACCAAGCCACTTGCCAAACGGCATTTGTCTATGGGACCGTTTTCCAGATACCTGAATTGCGTCAATCTGCGTAATTAACTACATAACTATTATGTACTACTCCGTACATCATCCGTTCGCCTTCCACAACACACCAAACCCCAGAACCACGAGTGAGAGCAGCCTTGTCAAGTGGATTGGGGCTGTGCTACTACCACAGGGCTTGCGACCCTCTTTTTGCGCCATTAACAAGACCATGTCGAGGATTAAATTACCAATGTTTGAGAGGCTACTCGACAGCAGGAACAATTCATGGCAGCTGATCTATTCGATTATGTACTTTTTAGGTATCGCCTAATCGAAGGTTGTTTTCTTCCCTTGAGATTCAACAATAGCGCCGCTGAGTCTCTGTACGGTCTCTTCAGAATAGCGACTATCGGAGCCAGCTTGTGCCCTTGCTTTCGGTTTTGGCTGATCACGGCTGGCTTTCTTCCTCGACGAAGTTGGCTTCTCAAAAGGAACTTCCTCGATAGGCGCAAGAGCACCATCATTCTGGGTCTCATCTCCATCAATGGCGGACGTGCCCTGTCCTCCCGAGCTTTCCTTCCCGAAGCGCTTTTTGTACCGAGTCGTGCTGTCCTCAGCGAACTCCATTCGCAAAGTACGCCCAAGTAAACGATTCACCCACACCTTCTTTTCTCTTGGCTTCTTCTTATCCTTGGAATACCTTGAGTTTTCATCGGACTCTGATGAGTTCATGGCATTCGCCTCCTCATCTGCTGGGACTTTAACAAATCCTCGCACAGCAGCCGCTGCAGATTCGAGCTCTTCAAACTCGACCCAACCATACCCCTTGCATTTCCCGGAGTCTTCAAAGGTGGCTATGTGGACATGGCTGATACCACCACAAGGTCTATAGTGTTCCTCGAGCATCTCCTTTGTGATGTCAAACGCTAGATTTCCAACGAATATCTTCTTGGAGGGCGGATTGGCTGAAGTTTTAGAGCCCATGGAAGTTCCTCCATCGTCGCGTGGCTTGTCTGGGCGCCCTGCGAAATTATTCGCGTCTTTTATGAGAACTGCCCGTCCGGCAAGAAGCTGCTCGCTCAGCACAATCGCCCGTTGCACCGCACCGCTAGTCGAGAAATCAATATAAGCAAAACCTTTATTTAGCTGTTTCCCATTTCTTTTCTCGCCTTGAGGAAGATGTATTCGCGTAATCTCGTCCGGAATAAATGGCCCTTTTGTAGTCAAGAAATTGCGTAGATCATCTTGGGCGACGGAAAAGGGAAGGTTTCCGATCCAGATTCCAAACCCACTTCGCTTGTTCGTTGGTTGTTGAGGGGGGGGTTGGGTTTCCGATTTGGACGTTATTGCTTGTGCATCGTCGACTTTCGCCGTTGACTTTTTCTTAGCCTTTCGGAGTGCTTTCTTGGAGGGAGGTTCTGGAGCACCGAGGTCTATTTCGATATCTGGGTCGAGTTTCCGCTTGCGGCTGGCATTTGGAGAAGAATCAGGTCTGTCTCCCATTGTCAATTATAAGTAATCCACGGAGTAAATGTAGACTATTTCAACAGGAGCAGGCCGTGCCGACTCAGAGAAGAAAAGTGATCAAAAGAAGCGCGGAACAGCAAATTTTAGCTTTGGAGCTTGTGCGGGCTTGGTTGTCACAAGATTGGCTAGAGCGCGGCTTTTTCGTCCCTTTGGATGCAAGCCTCAAAAGGCGACCCCCCAAGTCCAGTTCAAACAAACGCGCTGCTTCACTCCTTGAAAACTCGTGCTCCTATCAAGTTAAAATACAATCCCATCATTAACTATCATATCTCTTCTTGGTAATCGGCCCGACTTGTCGCGATGGCTTCTCACGGGGATACTACTGAATCGCAGTCCATGAACGGGAGCTTAGCTGAGGGCCACCGCGCCTACAAGTCTTTCAAGTTAGGCCAACCGCGCGTTGACCACCGGGTGATTGATGCTGATTATCTTTATTTAGGAGGAAGTTTGCGAAGCTAAAGATCAAATTTGAACAAGCAATGAAGGAAGGAAACTCGCTTGTCAAAGAGGAGTTAAGGATTATCGACCTTTCAAGGAGACTCAAGGAGCAAAATGAGTATGCTCGAGCCCATTCCCTGCAGTAAACTGGCATTGTTAATAGTGTTCGTTTTTCTAGCCAACTACTTGAGCTCCTTTTGGAACTTAATTCGAGTATACGCATCCCTCGACATCTCCGATACAGCCTCTCCATTCCAGGAGAGCTGTTCTCCGAAGCTTGCCCCCCGGAACCCGGGACTCCACCAACACCCAGCTTTGATGCCGCCACTGCTCGTCAAAAGCTCCGGGAAGCAAGAGTAAAATTACTAGAAGGCAAAATGTCGGCCGTCGCTTGTCGACTTTTGGAGGAATCCATCGCGCGAAGTGATAATTTCGCCCCAGCTCTGCATTACTCGGAGTTGATAAAAACGCCGCATACTATGCCATCCAATGGCATTCATTCAACCGTGGATGGAGACCTCGATTCTACTCTTGGTTTCCTGTCCCCGGAGCATGATATGGAATATACGAATAAGCTCGACTCGGGTTTGGGCTTTACCCGAACTGGGGACAGACCATTGACCGCTGAGAGAGAAAGAGAAATCATCATGCGGAATCCCACATCCATGTATAACTGGCTCCGCAAAAACGATCCAAATGCATTCCAGGATACGGAATCGATTGGCGCTTCGGAGAAGCCATCAGCGCCTTCAAAAGCAGCGGCCACCCGCACATCCAAACGGGCCGCAGCTCAAGCACCGAAAGAAGAGAAAATATTCGAGGACGATAGCTTCATGCTTGACTTGGAACCCGAGGTCTCAAAAGGTAGCAATCGTACCAAGAGAAAGAGAGATGAAGATGGAGGATACCGTCCAAAAGGCGGCAGCGGCCGCTCGAGGAAGAAGAAAGAAGATGGCACCAAGAGGAAAAGACCAGCCGTTGCATCAGCGAGCTGAGTAGCCGTCCTTCGAGAGTGTCGTCTCCTGATTCCATGGATTCCACTTGGGTTTCGTTTCCCTTCTAAGTCTCCGTTCAGTATAATCGTGCTTTTTCCATCTCCTGTATCCATAATATATACGGCGTTTTCATTATACCGATCCATTGTCTTCCATCATCGTTATTCTTTGATAGTGGATCACTTCCCCTTTCGTGTCTAACTCGACTGTACTTTCCCAAGACTGATCCGTTTTGCTCATTCTGCTGGGATTTTCAAGTATAGGTGACTATTCGCTTCCATGTCTCCATTCTATGTTTATGAATTTACTCATGCAGATACATCAAAGAGTTCTCATATCCACAATTCTCGACCCGCCTCGCACCTTCTAATAATTCCTCCTATGAGTCTGGGAACGCGACTGGGCAGACCTACTGTCCAAGATTTCAAATTTTCTCCCAGGATCCACATTTGCCCGTGAGGTATCTTATTAGATGCGCTCCAATCATGAATGCACTCCCCGGTGTTGTCTATGAATGATATTTCCAGAGCGTTCATCTACAGGTTCTGCGGCGTCTTCCTTACTCCTAGAAAAGACGATGTGATTCCTAGCCCGGATGCGGCAAGATGTTTTATGAGAAACCTGTCAGCTGCTGATCGTGAAATCGATGTCGACTACTACGAATACCCGGATGGATTCCTAAAGTAGTTGAAATATCTACAAAGCCTGCCGGGGATGAAGCCACTCGTCAAAGTCACCGAGGGAATCACTGGAAGAGCATCAGTGTCATCAGTCACGGTGCGCAGGGTAGCGTATATCTCCGTGCCTGGCATCCATTTGGTGAGATGGTGCGATTTCACTCCCTAGTACATCTGGTCTTATAGGCCTACGTGATAATCGGTGGAAGAATATCATTTTCGCATTCTTTACGACTGTTATCCAAGAGGTAGTCTCTACCAGGTGCATTGATATATATATGCTTTTTCCGAGATCGAAATACAGGAGGACTCGCTGACAGTTTTGCCTTTCCTTCCAGCAGTGTCTTGGTCCCAGAATCTTTCTTGTGGTGACTTTTTCCACTGCATGGTGACGACAGTGTTACACTGCACAAATGGTCATGCAAAGTCATACTTGAAACCTGGATGGGAGGAGATCGTCTATAAGGATGACAAGCCAAGTAACAGTGGGTTAATCAACTTCGTCCTAAGAAATGATATGTGGACTGGTTCTGATCACTTGGTTCTCATAGTTTTCATTGGGTCGCCTCCATCAGATGATGCCAACGAGAGATAACCGAATTTATATCTTGCAGATTTTGGTAAGGTAGAGACTTTCTCTTTCTCTTTCTCTTTCTTTTTCTTTTTTTTTTTTTTTTTTTTTTTTTATTTTTATTTTTATTTTTATTTTATTTTATTTTATTTTATTTTATTTTTATTTTTATTTTTTTTTTTTTGGCGTGAAACTGTCAAAATACCCGTCTCATCAGTATGTATAGTTAGGACTTGCGTATACATTGGCCAATGATGATGTGCGAGAAGTACAAAAAAGTTTTCTGCCTGGAAGAAACCGGTGAGTATATTTCTTCAGTGGGTATCGAGGTTTCGAGGTTTCTTTTATCAGCCCAGTTGCAATCGCTCTACTCACAGCCATCATATAGGAAGCGCGAGATGTCTCCGCACGTTGGAACATAAGTTCTAAGATTGACATTTATGCTCTTTCCCACACAACCTAGAATGCATCGAAAGAGGGGTATAATGTCTATATAATCATTTAGCATCAGCTCATCTCTAGGCGCAGTGATGCTGACAACTACCTACCATATTCCGTCACCCTTCATTACTTGTGTCAGAAGTGCCACAGCTTTGATCCTGACAACAGGCCTGACATCTATAGGCTGGGAATTCACTGGGTATATGGCAGCACAATGGAAATATCTCGTTCTGAAGAAGAACCAAGAAGCTAAAAGAGCTAGGAGCAAGTTCAATGGGGTGATGATATTATCCAATGAAGATTTACGCAGACAAGTCTTTGCAGATGAAACATTAAACACGGCTTTTATTACCGCGGCCTGATACCGTGTTCCAAGATCGCTTGCGGCAATAACTCACTGAAGAAGCATGAAATGTGGCCTAGGGCATGTTGAGTGCGCTGAGCTGCCCGGCAAATTGCTCGTAAACTCGAAGAACTTGCGCAGGACATGCTCAGAACTCATTCTGAAGAGGCTGAGATCTCAGAATGACTGCATTAATATGGGAAAAGTAGTTGATCACAGGACAATGTTTTTTCATACACTAGGAGCTTGTATGATCCATAAAGCATTCACTGTTTCTCCTCCAACACTGTATTACATCACGTATCAAGGTGTTCAAGATCACCCTGAAGCTCCTTCAACTCAGGCCTATATCTTTTAATGAATGCGATAGCACAGGAAAAGCTAACATAGGTGCCTCGCACAATATGCTTCTCTCCATGTTTCTGGCCGCCAGGCATGACATAAAATGTCTCCTTTTTTCTTCAAATAGGATCTCATCACATCCCTTGAGAACTGAAGAGCCCAACATATCCTGGTAAGATTGATTGCCCTGGGAGGGTTCTTGTTAACATCATGGTTAACCCACATTTCGAGCTGAATTGCCCTGAGTTCTTGGTTCTCAGCTGTGTGTATGTTACAAGTGGCAGAAGACTCCCCGCATATTCTTCTTGTGGGCGGCCGACAGGTGGATGATAGAAGACAAGCCTCTCCTCCAGCTCCTGATATGCCTTCAGTCACTGTGAACCCACTGGGAGCTGGTACTGACTCCAAAAGCTATCAAATGGCCGACATTCTCCACGATCAACCATCATACGGCCCGTCGCCTGGAATTTAAACGGGCCTTTCTTCGTCTTGAAATGCGCAAGTCCGTTGTATTCACTTGATCACCTCGAAATTAGCTTACACCCTTCTCACATGTAGATAGGTAGATGATGCCCTCGTTCTTTCTCTCTTATTCCCCACCCAGCCCACGAAACAGACAGACCGACAGATTTTTGGCTACGACGGATAATAGAAATTCGCATGCAATGTACAACAGACAAGAAACAGGCGCCCACATAATAATTTACGCAAATTCACTCCTATCTTCCGCCTAATATTCTCAATTTCCAGTTCGCCTAGCCCAATCTTCCATGGCTTGTGCATATCCTGGAAGATCCTCACCGCGGATAACACAACGGGCCCGCCTCTGAGGTATAATCCGTTCATACCTGTCGCGATAAATGTTCATGTCCATGGCATAGTTTTCATCAACACGACGTGCATATTCTTCTGCCTTGAAGCGAATGCCGCCTGGAGGCTGCTGCCCGTCCTGCAGGAATCTGATGTAGGCGTGCACCTGAGCTTCTGAGAGTTGGAAGATCATGTACCCGCCCACTGGGTGGATAAAGATATCCTTGCACTAAGATTGGCAAAAGATCAAAAGCTAGTGAATATTAATTCGGTTGAGAAGCAAAAGGAGTCTGTATGGGAAGTATGGGACTCTTACTTCGTGCCCCATCTTCCCACGATCAAACAAAACAACCCCCCCGAACAGACGATATTCCGCCCAGTAACCGACAATATCGGCAATTCCGTTAGGATATTGCTGCCAGAAATCATAAGAATGATGGAAAAGCTCCGCTGGCAGAGCTTTAAGGGGTGGTGGGGGTGGCATGTTGGGCCAAAGCAGTTCATCAGGCCATACTATGGGGTCGGGGGGCTCTGGTTTATGAAAGCCTCCATCATAAGCCTGATACAAGTGAACAGCAATGCCATGACAGAGGACAGCAAGGATCTCAATAAGACGTAAGTGGAATTCTCTTGAGCCAGGGGTAGCATTTTGGAATGCTTGCGCAATCTGCTGACTTTTTAGCATTCATTCTCCAAAATAGAAAGCTTGGGGTTCTGGATGTACTATACCTTTGCACTGATTTGAAGACTACCAAGATCCAGATTTCGACGGCACAACTCAACTGCCTCCAGAGCTGCATCACTTGGATGAATATTGTTGTGGAAGCTTTTGCGAAACTCATAGACGTAGTCTTGATAGACATCACGCGTGGGACGGCCGTCAACAACTTGGGCAAATGTCTCTGTGGCCAGGTCCGTGGAGAGGATTGTCCACAAGGCCTGTTGCAAAACCTCAAAGTGCCATGGGGACAAATTCTCCAGCCCAACTGTTGCCAGGCTTTGTGTCGACGTCGGATGCTCAGACATGGTCTTGAATTCCAAACGTCACCAGTAAGTGGACAATGTCTTCAAGAAGTCGTCTTTTTCAAACCGTGAATTCATGGAAGGAGGGAGATCTTTGATGCCCTTGTAGGCTGCTAAGCGCTGGGTGACATAGTCTGAATGTGAGCCAAGGTCCTGGTTCATCCAAACAACCAAGAAGTTCTATCATCTGCATTGGTGGTGACCGGTGACGTAAGCGCCCAATCAGATCAGCTAACTAGTTAGTTAACCAAGCCAAGGTAACTAGTTATGGGTTATCCGCGAGTCAATCTCTTTGCTCAGCTAGTTGCCAGTTAAACCACAGCGTTCGTCAAAGGTGCGCCATTTTGCATTCACACCTAGAGTGGTTTGGACTTCCCATTCAAGCTTCCCCGGGAGTGAATAGCTCATATCTTTTTGTCTTGATTTCCTGGAACCACAACCCCGTGCGTTCTTCCAGCATGCACGGACCATTGAATGACGGGGGCGTAGATGGGATCCCTCTGAATATACTCGCACAGCAGCCATTACTTAAGATATACACCCAGATAAGCATCTTGTTCCCAGTGCCGGATCATTTTTCCCATTCAGCGATTGTTGATACCCTGACAAATGGCCTTGAGCGGTTGTGCGCGTGCTTCCCGTGGCTTGCAGGTCAGGTTGTCCATGAAGGGTTGAGTGAATGCAATTCAGGGACCTTCAAAATAAAACTGTTTGATAAAACCTCACGTCTGGTGCTAAAAGATCTTCGAAATGACCCTTCGATACCGTCGATGGACTTCCTTAAGCGGGCCGGGTTCCCTTTCAGCATGCTAGATGAAAGCATCGTTGCGCCTCGCAGGACCCTCCCAGGAAGCCCCGACGAGCTTGAGTTCAACATAGATCCTGTATTTCTCCTTCAGGCCAGCTTCATCACTGGTGGCCTCATTCTCACATTTGTTGGTCAGCACAGTACGATGGACATGACTGGCCAGGGACATGTCATCCACCTCTTCTCAAAAGCCTGCCACAATGAGCAATTCACAGATGCAGAACTGTCATCTGGTAACCTTCCTGGGGACAACCTCATCCCCTTGCTTGATGATTCTTACATTCTAGGGCCTGAGTTCCCTCACCAGATAGTGAAACCTACACCATCTCCTAGTCACGGAGTCCCACCTCCGCCTCCAAAGTGCACTTGGGTGTACTTCACTTTCGACGCCGCCTCGCTGGCCACTCTGAAAACACTAGCTACAAACACTATTCCCCAGTCCTCAGGATACGTCTCGACTGACGACACTCTTAGCGCCTTTATCTGGCAATCGATTACGCGAGCCCGCCTTCACCGCCTGAATCCGTCATCTAAGTCAACTTTGGCCCGCGCCGTTGATGTACGAGGATATCTCAACATTCCAAAGACATATCCCGGCCTCTTGCAGAATATGACGTACAATACATACACGTTTCAGGAACTGGTGGACGAGCCGCTGGGCATTATAGCATCACAGCTTCGTTCGGCATTAGACCCAAAACGACTAGCCTATCAAACCCGTGCTCTTGCAACACTATTTGACCGTACACCGGATAAGAGCACCATCTCTTTTACAGCGTCAATCGACGCATCAACTGACATTATGTTAAGCTCCTGGGCCAAGCTAGACTGTTATGAGCTTGATTTTAACCTTGGACTGGGGAAGCCTGAGGTGGTGCGAAGGCCGGGATTCGTTCCGGTCGAGAGTTTGATATATTTTATGCCGAGGGCGCGAGATGGAGAGATTGCGGTTGCAATTTCTTTGAGGGACGAAGATCTAGAGGCGCTTAAGGTGGACGCAGAATTTGGGAAGTATGCGAAGTATATCGGCTGATGCGTAACTGGTCTTCGTGGATTTCGAAGAGCCGTGGCGAAAATAAATTGCGACGGCGGGAATGATTTTGTTTGAGTGTGGACACAGCGGTTAGTTGATTTGCCATTTGAGGGATGAAAATAGTTAAATAGCTATAAAGCTAGGAGGCTGCAGCAAGAGTCTTTGAATTGACATTAGGATGGGCAAGATGTAACCAGTCGATCTTTATTCTCACCCTGGTCTTTAACTGCAGCTTCAACCATTTCGTTCCTGACGAGAGGGTTAACCTTTGGCCATGGTGATATTGTTCTGGACTGGTGTAGTTAAGTGCTTGTCACGCAGAAAATTGCGAAGAGAAACAGCACTAGATCCCTCAGCTTTATTCAAACCCATCTTCACTAGCCATGCTTGGATTTTTCGAACACAAAAGAATCTGGATCAAAATCTCCATGGAGTTATGAAAACAAAGTCCACAGTTTGGTGGTAAACACGGCTATGGGTATTGTAAAAGCGGCCTGAGGTCCGTCCCCATCGGCGATGGGACTGAGTGCTGCGCAACTTGCGTCAAAGTCCCAAGGCTCACTCGTATTTCTCTCCAAGCCAAATATGTTTTGTTGGCTAGTCACCCATGCACTCCACTCAACGAGAGCAAGGCGGAGTGATCTCCGCAACGCTTGACGATAATGGATCTAGCTAAGCGATCCAAGATTACCAAACTCGTCAATTATTCGTATTCACTGCCTTTTGACTACGATTGATATTCACTATCAATCTTGAAACAACTTGCATCCGACATCATGCTCTTCAAAAACCGGAAATTCATCGTTTTGTCAAGCCCGAGTCACGATAGGTTATAAAAGAGATGGCTTCCCAAGCAGAAGTGACTGAGCATGACATATTGTCTTTCAAATACATCACACTTTGTTGACATACCTAGTTTGTAACGCCGAGTGCGGTTAATGCTACCATGAAGGGTGTTTTCTCCCGGGCTTTATATCTTACCTTGCCCCTTTTTTCAGCGTCCGCTGTTGTTGGCCATCGGCAACGATGTTCATACGGCGACTCATGCTGGCCCACCGAGGGTGAATGGCAATCGTTCAATGCTTCCGTTTCTGGCCATCTGATTCGGACATATCCTTCAGCAGCAGTTTGCCATGCGGAGCGCTATGATGACGCCAAATGCACCGCTGCGAAAGAGGACTGGCTAGATAGCTTCTGGCGAACAAACCAGACAGGAGCTTATTCGGCAATTTTATGGGAGCTGGGTGAAAACGGACAATGTTTCATTGATTCCCCACGGGATGCGCCCTGTGATCAAGGCATCGGTGAGACATATCTTGCTTGCGTTAGTTGGGAGCATATACTCATATCCGCCGTATAGTTCCACATTACTCTGTGAATATACAAAGTACGAGCGATATCCAAACTGCTGTTAAATTTGCAGCACAAAAGGAACTATACCTGACGGTGAAGAACACCGGACATGACCAGTAGGGAACCTTGCCTTGGCACGATAGCATTGGAAGCTTACATTTGTTAGCCTCGGTCGTTCAAGCGGTCAAGGCGCATTTTCGCTTTGGACACACAATATGAAGGGGAGAGAGTGGCATACCTCCTTCATTCCCAAAGGAGCTCCTCAGGAAACTACTGGTATTCCTGCTGTGACACTCCAGGCAGGAGAACAATGGCTGGGTAAGGCTAGAATCTGCATGTTAAACACCGCTTCATTCTGACCTTTCTTTAGATATATACAGAGCAGCTGCTGAAAAGGGTGTGATTGTCGTCGGAGGCTCAGCTCGAACTGTAGGCGCAGCTGGAGGATACCTTACCGGTGGGGGTCATAGCCCCTTTTCCCATTTTTATGGGTTAGCCGTGGATAGTAAGGCACACCCTTCTTGAGTGCTTCTCGGACAATTTATATTTCACGAGAGACTGATATGTCCGCAGATTTACTGGAAGTCAACCTTGTTGATGCAAACGGGACACGACGGACCATCAACCAATATACTGATCCGGAATATTTCTACGCACTACGCGGTGGAGGTGGGAGCGCTTGGGGTGTAAGTATTGCTGTCGCCCCTCAAACGGGTCCGCTGCTTATATTGGAGGTGTGTATAGGTGATCGCCTCAGTCACATATAAAACTCATCCGAATCCATCCCACATCCAAGTGGGTCTAGTCCAATTCAACGTCACTAACAATTCAACACTACGGGCCGTCATTGAAAAGTGTCTGCAAGAGCTTCCAAGTATTACGGATGCAGGCTACACTGGCTATGGCTCTATGAACTTCCTATCGGGTGGCAAAGAGCCCCTTGGATTTGGAGCAATTTTCATTCAGCCCAATGGAACCAATGCCACCTTCACCCGGACTTTTAAGCCATACTACGACATTGCCAAGATGCAAGGAGTTTCCGGTGCTCTTGCCAACATAGACTTCCCAAGCTGGATCGAATACGCTGAAGTATTCGTGCAGGACCCAAACATCGCCACAAATATTATCGACGGGTCAAGACTGCTTACTTCGCAAGCATTGTTGCACCGCACTCGGGATCTAGTGGATTTGATGTTTGAATATGCATCATTTGGCCCTGGGTTCAACTTTAGTTAGTATCATACCTGAATTCCACAGACACAGGAAAACCGTATATGGACTTCACCGTTTAGCGAGTGATGCTAATCCTATCGCTTTCTCTAGTCGGTAAAGTAAATTCCGCTAAAAGAGACGAGACATCTACGCATCCTATTTGGGAACAAAGCAGGGCGCTTCTAAGTTTCGCGGCAAATTGGAGAGATGATGCGTCAGCGAACGAGAAGCGAAACGCAAAGCTCAGTCTGGTAGAGATCAGTAAGAAACTCGGCGACATAGTTGGCCCAGGGGGTGGAACATATGTCAACGAAGCCAACCCGTAAGCCTTCTTTCCTCTGATAAATTTCTTTGTGCTTGCTCAGCCAGCTGACAATCAATGTTATCAATGACATAGGTATGAGCCAGATTGGCAAAATGTATTCTGGGGAGAGAAATATGCTCGGTTGTTAGCTATCAAGAAGCGTATTGACCCAACAAATCTTTTTGTCTGCAACAGGTGTGTCGGGACAGACATTGTTTTGGAGCCGTGAAGTATAGATCTCACGTATTTTTGCCCTTTTGTGGTGTTTGGTGAACCGATATATCCCTTCAGGCTATATATCTTATTTTACCTTAAATAGGGATTATAATACAGTGTGCTACGGCCCCATCCATGCATTGCAGTACAAATTGTCGGACGTTTGTGTAGAGCCCAATCT